GAGATCCACCTGCCTCTGCCTTCTGAGTGCTAGGATTAAAGGCATGCACCACTACATCTGGCTTGTGTAGTAACTTTAATGTATATATAATGTAATATTTACATATTACATTATATATACATATATGTCTACAAATTTTTTTTTTTTTGTCTTTTTGAGACAGGGTCTCTCTGTAGCCCCAGCTGTCTTGGAACTCACTATGTAGACCAGGCTGGCCTTGAACTCACAGAGATCCGCCTGCCTCTGCCTCCCGAGTGCTGGGATTAAAGGCGTGCGCCACCACACCCGGCAATGTCTACAAATTTTTAACAGTGTTGGTGATGGAACCCAGGACCTCACACATGCTCGGCAAGTATTCTACCACTGACCCATATGCCTGGTTCCATGTTCAGAATTTTGACAAACTGCCATACAGTTAAAGTGGCTGTCTTATTTTACAGTCCTGCTAGTGATGTATGAGGATCCCATTTCTTTTAAAAAATATTTTATTTAGTATTAATTTTTATTTTATGTATATTCATGTATTGCCTGCATGTATGTAAGTGCACCCATGTCGTGCAATGTCTGCGGAGAACAGAAGAGACCATTGGATCCCCTGGAACTGGAGTTAAGGACAGTTGTTAGCTGCCATGTGGGTGCTGGGATTCAAACCTGGGTATGTGTACCACATGTGTGCCTGGTGCCTGCAGAGGCCAGAGGAGGGCGTCTGAGCCCCTGGAATTGGAGTTACAGATGGTTGTGAGATACCATGTATGTGCTGGGAATTGAACCTAGGTCCTGAGTAAGAGCAGCAAGTCCCTCTTACTCCAGACCATCTCTCCAGCCTCTTGATATTTTGTTTTGGTATTTTGAGATGGGGTCACAGTACATTGCTCAGACTGGTCTTAAACTCTGGGCTCAAGCAGTCCTCCCATCTTAACCCCCTAAGTATCTGGGACTTAATTATATACAGCCTCCTAAGTAGCTTTTCTTTACTGTACACCAATCTTACTGGGTGTGAAATATATCTCCCTGGGGTTCTGTGTTACATTTTCCTGATGGCTGATGTTGAACTATTTTTCTGAGCTTACTGGTGATTTGTATGTCTTTGGAAAATGTGTTCAGATTCTTTGTCAGTTTCTAAGTGTTAGGATTTTTAGGAGGAGGTTGTCTTTTTATTCTTGATTGTTTTTTTTTTTTTTTTGGTGGGGGGGAGTCTTTTAGAGACAGGGTCTCCCTGTAGCCCCAGCTGACCTGGAAATTGCAATGTAGACTAGGCTGGCCTCGAACTCACAGAGATCCTGCCTGCCTCTGCCTCTCAAGTGCTGGGATTAAAGGCATGCGCCACCCTGCCTGGCTTATTCTTGATTTTTATGACATCATTGTATATGGTAAATACAAGTCTCTTATCCTGCTTCCACCTCCCAAGTGCTGGTATTACAGGTGTGCAGTACCATGCCCAGCGTTGCTTAGTCTTTTTGTAAGGCAAGCTTTTCAAAATATGTCATGAATTATAGAAGTTCTCAAATTCTATGAATTACTGTTTGGAAATTGGAATCTTGGAAACTGTCTCCAAATAAAAGGCATTGTGAATACCAGGGTTCAAACATGTTAGGTAAATGATTTGCCACTGAGCTACATCCTCAACCCTCTTTTTTTCTGTGTCATGGTCTCACCTAGTTGATCAAGGTGGGCTTGAGTTTGTGATTCTCCTGGCTTAGCTTTTTGAGAAGTGCGGTTATAGATATAAGCCACCAGGCTCAGAGGAAAAAAGCCATTTGTCTAACTTTATGGGAGGGACTGAAGAGATAGCTCAGCAATTGAGAGCACTCATTGCAGCTGGGCAGGGTGGCGCAAGTCTTTAGTCCCAGTACTCAGAAGGCAGAGGCAGGCGGATCTCTGTGAGTTCAAGGCCAGCCTGGTCTACATAGCAAGTGCCAGGCCAGCTGGGACTACAGGAAGACCCTGTCTCAAAAAAAAAAAAAGAGCACTGGGTTTGGTCACCAACATCCATATGTTAACAATTGTCTTTTAACTCCATCCAGGGGATATGATGGGCCTCTTCTGGCCTCTGTGGGCATTGTACTTATATATGTACAGACAAAACAGTCATACACATTAAAAACAAAGAATTTAAACTTTATGGCAGTAGGGGCTGGAGAGATGGCTCAGCAGTTAAGAACACTGACTGTTCTTAAAGAAGACCCAGGTTCAAATCCAGCACCCACATAGCAGCTTACAACTGTCTGTAATTCCAGTTCCAGGGGATCCTACAGCCTCTTCTATCCTCCGTGGGCATTGCATAACACAGGTGCACTTACCTACACATAAAATTAAAATAATAAATAAAATATCTTTAAAAAACTTTATGGCATCAGTTAAAAAGGGGAACTATGAGGCAGAACATTGTGATGCATTCCTGTAATCCCAGCACTCAGAGGCAGAGGCAAGACTGCCACAGCTCTGTGTCCGGCCTGGTTTACAAAGTAAGTTCCAGAGTTCCAGAGACATTGCCTCAAAAAAAAAATCTGGAAGCAAAAATATGCATTTACATAACTTATGGTATGTTATTATGCAGCTATTAAAATTATAAAGATGACCATGCATATTGTTGCATGACTTTTCCTGGGGAGATGTGAACAAATGTCTATTTACTTCAGATGAGGCACTGACGACAGACCAAAGAAATGATCCCACCTGAGTCTAGCTTGGTGAACCAGTTTACTGGGGTAACTTATAGGAGTATGGGTGACTCAGTCAACTGCGTCACTGAAAAGCACCCCTAGCATGAGTGATGACTCAGGAAAGTGGCATCATTGGAGTTCTTTGCATCACTTGAGGCAGCTCCATGGAGTCGCCTCTCCTTAGTGATTGTGTACTGTTATACTCTTAGGGAGGGGCCTTGTGAGTGTTTTCATTAGTTCCTGGAACTTTAAAGTTTTGTGAGCTTCTCTCCAGGAAGGAATGCTTCAATCTAGAGGAACTTGCTACAAAGCATGTTTCATAAATTATATCCAAGTGGAAGCTTTAGGAAGCTATTAAATCAGATCAAAAGGAGGCCGGTGAAAAGCTGGGAAGGTGACTGTTACTGGATGACAGAGGTTTTTTTTTGCAATGTTACAAGGCAAGATTCAAAGTAAAGCATTTCAGGGTTGAACCCAGAACTGTGCATGCTAGGCCAGCATACCACTATTGCACTAATGGGAACAATTTTTAGGTTCTGGTATATCTTGTGAACTCAGGGCCTTGCACAGGCTAGGCAAGTACCTACCTCTGAACTACTGAGCGCATCCCCAACCCTGAGCATTTTATTTTCTGAGTGAGTTGTGTTCTCATGGTGCCATCACCCCAAATAGGTTATTTTAAAGTAATTGAAAACAAAATTTAGGGGCTTCCAGGCATGGAGGTGGACGCTTTTACTCTCAGCTCTTAGGAGGCAAAGGCAGGCACATCTCTATGTGTTCGAAGCCAGCCTGGTTTACATAAGAGTCCCAGGCCAGCCAGGGTTACGTAGTGAACTCTTACTCAAAACCAAACCAAACCAAAAACGACCCACAACCTTCCCCCCAAACCACTCCTCCCCACAAAATTTAGGGGTTGATGGCAAGTGGTGGAACACTTGCCTGGCATATATGAGGCCCTGGATTTGATCCTTAGCACCTCAAAAAAGCCAAAAAAGCAGAACATATTCCATGGGAAAAAGTTATCAGAACAGAAGATAACAGTAAGTCAAATGGTGGCCCATGCCTGTAATCTCAGCAAGGTTGCAGCTGAGGCAGGAGTATTGAGAAATCAATTCCAGTTTAGGCTAGGCTTGGAGAGACTTTGTCTTAAAAACAAAAAACAAAAACTAACTAAATCCCCAGAAAATGTAAAATGTAAGAGACCACTGATGTTTAGAGTTGTGTACTCTTTGAAATATTTTGCCTTGTGCATATGTCTGTGCGTGTGCATGCTTGCACGTGCACACACACACACACACACACACACACAGAGATTACCCTGGTTTTAACTCTTGTCAGCTTATTTTTTTCCATTAATAAGCCATTTGAACTGGCATATTCCTGTAATTCCAGCAACCAGAAGGCTGAGGCAGGAGGATTAGTATAAGATGAAATCCAGGCTGACCACATAGTGAGTTTGAGGGCAGCCTGGGTTACATAGTGACACCCAATTTCAAAAAGAAAAACCACTGGGTCATCTTCATTCCTTTAAACAGCAGGACAGTCCACCAGCTGTTTGCACTGTAGGTGTCCTTTCATTGTCATTTGGGTTGGTTGTAGGTGTTTTACAATCACAAACATTTCTACAATGCACAGCACTGAACAGACTTCATGAGAGGTTTCTGGAAGTAGAAATGTTTTGGGAGCTATCATGTAATTGATGATTTTATCATGTGTATGTCTGGCACCCCTGTGTGCTAGTGTCCTACCTCATAGGCATGTGTTGGTCATCTTCCATGCAGGACCTCAGCCTGTAGTGGGCCTCCAAACACTGATGAGACTCCATCTCCTGTTGTGAAAGCTTCCATCTTCACACCGCCTGTCCTACTCAAGTTTCAGCCTGTGCCCAGACCGAAAGATAACTCAGAGAACGACCCTGGCAGTGCAGAGTCTAATCCCACCAAGAGGAGCCAGTGATCTCTTCCCTACAGACCATGCTCCAGGAAGGAATAAAATTCCCAGAGATGCATTCTTGTGCTGAGTTCCCCTGGGCTTGTGCATGCTCTCTGTCCTTCTATGTGAAAGAAATGGTTGGGTAGAGCAAACTTGAGCCTCCAGCCTAAGCCTGTATATAAGAATAGTACATGGTTGGATCAGTACCATGAGATATCCCCTTGCTTACACATACATTTTGAGAGAATGAAGTGGGGAATACTATCCTTCCCTTTGGTGACTCTGGCCCCTTTGGGTGTCTCTTCAACCTGAGTTGCAAATCTACCATATTTTTCCTAAACACAAGCCTTATTTTGTAGGTGATCATCCCTGGAGGAGAATGGGCAAGGCTATCAGTTTCTAGTTTGGCACCTTGCTAAGAAATTTCTAATGTGACTCTTATTGTTGGCCTTAGAACTTGACCTGCATGTGAGAAGTCAGTCCTTCCTAAATATCTGATCATTACTGGACATTAGCCATAACTTGTGACTGGAGATCATAAACCCAACAATAGAAAGCCCTGTTTTTTTGTGGGGTTTTTTTTTGTTGTTGTTGTTGTTTGTTTGTTTGTGTTTTTTTTTGGTCTTTTTGAGACAGGATCTAGCTGTAGCCCCAGCTGGCCTGGAACTGATTTCTGTGTGCATATAGACAATTAGCACATAGACAAAATGACTACATTACAAATTATGATAAACTATGAGAGATATGAGTGGGGTGGTCAAGATCTTTTGAAGTAAGATTTATGCTGAACCTAGAAGCCATGAACTTCATGTGAAGGTTAAGAATAATTGCCTTTGGATGATTGGGTGAATGGTGGTTCTATTTAACAGCAAAGTGGGGACTCCAAATAGAGGACAGAGAGATTGAGAATTCTTTGATCAGACATATTAAACTTGACATCGGGGTGAATGATTTAGCATTGGGAGTCGGAATATAAGTGATGTTTAAAACCACAAGCTTAGAGCAATAAGATGGCTCAGTAGGTAAAAGCACTTGCTGCACAAGCCTGGTAATTTGTTTGATCCCAGGAACCCATGGTGCAAGGAGAGAAGGTTATCTGTCCTCTGAATCACACAGGTGCATCATGGGAGGTGCGCGCCTACCTCGCTACCCTCCGCTCAAAAAAATCTTTTTTTGTGCTTAGCATCCTCGTTTGAGGCATTGGACTCAATCCCCAGTTCCCTTCCACTCCCTAGACAAAAACACAAGCCTGGGCAAACGCATCAGGGTCCTGAGTGTAGACAAGAGACCCAGGTCAAACGTGCTGAAAGGAACCAAGGGAAGGGTCTGGCAAAAGAGAGAAACATGACCGGGTGGTGGTGGTGGTGGCGGAGGCTGGGTGGAGATTTGGACTTGCAGGCTTGATCACCTGCCTCCTGGGGTTGAGGGGGTCTGAGGGGTCTGGAGGACGTGTGAACCAAGAGCAGACAGTAGGTATGGCAGTAGAGCGGCCTTTTGAGAGAACGCAGGGCCAGTTTGCGCAGAGCCGACTAACATAGGTTGGGCTGGGTAACAAGGCAGTGCAGAGGTCCCTGGTAATCCGCAAAGGAGGCCGACGAAGCACCCCAGGTGAGCCAAGCAGCATCTGCTCGCGCGTTTCGGCCTCCAGCGTGTACTCAGGACACCAGGAAACCACAATTCCCACAATGCCTACTTCCAGCTTCCGGCACGGGGGCGGGCCGAGCTCCGGAACCGGAAGTTCTCCCGAAGGGGGAGTCGCTAGGCACTGAGCTGTTGGCCTGTTTGGCTTCGCCGCCGCCGCTGCCATGGGGAAACGACAGCACCAGAAGGACAAGATGTAAGTTGGGCGTCTCTGGCAGCGCAACCTCTGCCTCTTGCGCTTGCTCCCGGAGCGTCTCCATCCCGAGTATCACTTCCTCCCGGAAGCCTCCGCCCTCAGGCTTCGTACTGTCCCCGCAGCGCGACCCTCGGCCTCTGCGCTGTACTGGTCCCGACTTCACTTCACTTCTGGGATTTGCCCGGCCACCCCACTTTCCGCCTGCGAGATTTGCTTCTGCATCTCCAGGTCGCCTAGTGCCGGCTCAGCCCACACACGGCAACAGTCTACCAGCTTAAAACATGCCGGCCCTGCTCCAGTCGCTCCCTCTCACTTTTTCTCTTTATTTTCACTTTTTCATGGAAATAATCTGTCACTCTGTGTAGACCAGGCTGCCCTTGAACTCGCAGAGTCCTGCCTCTGCTGCCCGAGTGCTGGAATTAAAGGCGTGCGCCAGCACGAACTGCTCTTTTAAGGATATCCCTGATTTCTGTATTGTCAAATTTGATGTTCAACTGTCAGGCCTTATTTGGGCTGCTCAACATCTTTTGGTGCACTGACCACATTCCCCCTTCTGAAGCCGGTCTCACTATCTGGGATCGTAGAAGCGCCTTGTTTTCTATCTCCTTCAGTGATTGCTCTGTCCTCATTCCCCTTTTCTGGGCCCTCTCCCCATGTCACAGACAGCATCGGTCTTCTCCCCATTTCGTCTCTGCGGGTGGTCTTTTCCAGTCATCTCTATCTTGCAACAGATGTTTACTCAACATCTCCACTTGGGAAACTGATCTCTCAAAAAAGGAGTATGCTGGAAAGGGAATTCTTGATAATTTTCAACCATCCAGGCTGCCCTATTCCCACCCTCCCTATTCCAGTGGTTACACTGCAACAGACAACCCCTGACTTGCTACACATAGACTTAAGACAATTTCCCAATTTTACACACTAACAACATACAGCAACAAGAGCTACGTTTTGAGACATAGGTCAGATCATGTCAGGGTCCTGCTCAAAAAAAAAAGCATCCAACAGCTTCCCATCACACTTAGGACAAATCTTACCATGACCTTTGAGATCCTTTGTGACCCAGCCCCTGCTCTTCTCTGTCATTATCTGCTACCACATAGCTCATGCACACAACTCCTGTAATAGATCTCTTCTGGGACACATAACGCATTCAGCTTTCCCTGTCTCAGAGCCTCTGTAAGTGCTATTTCCATAAAGCACTTCCCCAGATCTTTATGTGCCTCACTCTTTCTATTAGATGATTTTTTTTTTTTTTGTCTTTTTGAGACAGGGTCTCCCTGCAGCCCCAGCTGGCCTGAAACTCACTATGTAGACCAGGCTAGCCTGGAACTCACAGAGATGTGCTTGCCTCTGCCTCCTTGGGCTTAAAGGTGTGTGCCACCACGCCTGGCTCCAGATATTTTTTTTTAATTTTATTTTTTATTTTACGTGTATGAGTGTATTGCCTACATGTATGTGAGTGCACCTGTGTCGTGCAGTTCTGCAGAGGTCAGAAGAGGGCTTCGGATTCCCCTGAAACTAGAGTTAAGGACAGTTCGTAGCCTCCATGGGGTGCTGGGAATCAAACCCAGGTCCTCTGCAAGAGCAGTCAGTGCTCTCAACTGCTGAGCCATCTCTCCAGCCCCCAGATATTTTTTTTTTTTTTTTTTTTTTTTTTTTTTTCAATACAGGTTTTTTTTTTTTTTTTTTTTTTTTTTTTTTTTTTTAAGACAAGGCCTCACTCTGTACCCTTTGCTGGTCTGGAACTCACTGTGTAGACCAGGTTGGCCTTGAACTCACAGAAATCTTTTGGCCTCTGCCTTCATTGTTAGGTCTTCTATGAATTCAGTTCATTTCCTTCAGAGCAAAACTCTGTTAGTATTTATTTATCCCCATGTCTGTTGTGCTTATATGTGCCTGATAACCAGAAGATGTGTGATAAACACTTGCCAAATGAATGGCATTATATCATAAGTTACTACTTTTGTCCACTCTTTAAAGGAGAGGTAGTAATATAATATACTTTCTCTCTCTTTAGGTACATTACCTGTGCTGAATACACTCACTTCTATGGTGGCAAGAAGCCAGGTAAGAGGATGGGGGTGGTATTGAGGAATGCTGTCTTCCTTATATAGTGATCCAGAAAAATAGATAAGAACCAGAACATAGACATTATGGTGAACAACTGGGCATGTTGAGGACATGTACTCAACATAGTAGAATGTAGTTACATCTTAGTAGAGGTTTTTTTTTTTTAGCTGGCCTGGAACTCAGTATATAGACCAGGCTGGCCTCACTCTCAGAGATCTGCCTCGGGAGTGCTAGGATTAAAGACATGTACCACCATGCTCAGTTCTTAGTAGAGATTTTTTTTTGTGTGTGTGGGGGTCTTTTTGAGACAGGGTCTCCCTGTAGCCCCAACTGGTCTGGAACTCACTATGTAGACTAGGCTGGCCTTGAACTCACAGAGATCTGCCTGCTTCTACCTCCCAAGTGCTGGGATTAAGGGTATGCGCCACCATGCCTGGCTTTAGTAGAGATTTTCAAAAATGTAATTTAAAGTAACTTTTTCTATAGAAGCTCCATAAGTGGTAACAACCCATAACTGCCAAGGCTGCAGAAAAATGGGCACCTCACTATGTAGACTAGGCTGGCCTTGAACTCACAGAGATCTGCCTGCTTCTACCTCCCAAGTGCTGGGATTAAGGGTATGCGCCACCATGCCTGGCTTTAGTAGAGATTTTCAAAAATGTAATTTAAAGTAACTTTTTCTATAGAAGCTCCATAAGTGGTAACAACCCATAACTGCCAAGGCTGCAGAAAAATGGGCACAGGAATTCTTTTTTTTTTTTTTTTTAAAGGTAATCTGGCTGTGTAGCTCAAGCTGGCCTTGAACTCAGGATCCTCCTGCTTTTGCTTCCCCAGTGCTGGGATTATAGGTGTGTGCCATTGTGCCCAGCCATAGTCACAATGATAATATGAGTAAAAAATATGTACATTAGGCCGGGTGTCGTGGCACACACCTGTAGTCCCAGCACTTGGGAGGCAGAGGGAGGTGGATCTCTGTGAGTTCAAGGCCAACCTGGTTCACAAAGCGAGTTCCACACCAGCTGGGGCTACAGGGAGACCCTGTTTCAAAAAGACCAAAAAAAAATGTGTACATTAAAAAAAAAATCATACGCATTTTCAGTCCAGTTGGGGAGACACCTGGTTTTTTATGGTGCTGTAGATTGAACCAGGGGCTTGTGCATGCTAGGTAAGCACTTTATTCTTTTTTTCTGTCTCCCTGTAGCCCCAGCTGTCCTGGAACTCACAGAGATCCACCTGCCTCTGCCTTCTGAGTGCTGGGATTAAAGGCGTGTGCCACCATACCTGGCCAGCACTTTACTCTTAAGCTACAGCCTCACCTCAGGGATATGCACTTTTTTCCTATAAGTTCTTTTAAAATAATTGCAATACTGGAGATCAAGCCCAGGGCCTTGAATATGCTAAGAAAGTGCTGTACCACTGCGCTGTATACCCTGTCTGTTGTGGGGTTTTTGAAATTTTATTTTTGTGTGTATGATGCATGTGCCAGTGCGTACATGCCACAGTGTGTGTATGGAGGTCAGAGGCCAACTTTATGGAGTTATCGCTCTCCTTCTATCTTTGTGTAGATTCTGGGGATTGAGCTCAGGTGGTTAGGCTTATGTGGCAAGTGCCTTTACCACTGAGTCATCTTGCTAGTTTTCTCAGTTTGTGTATGTTTTGCTTGTGGCCTAGGCTGGCCTTCTGTGTCAGCTTCCTGAGTCCTAGGATTACAGACATGCAGTTCTACTCCTGATTCATCTTTTTTTTTTTGTCTTTTTTTTTTGGTCTTTTTGAGACATGGTCTCCCTGTAGCCCCAGCTGTCCTGGAACTCACTATGTAGACCAGGCTGGCCTTGAACTCAGAGATCTGCCTGCCTCTGCCTCCCGAGTGCTGGGATTAAAGGCATGCGCCACCATGCCCAGCCATAATGATGTATTTTAATGGTAGGTACACCCAGATGAAATAATTTTCAAATAAGTTTTCTGTTTTTGTTTCATTTTAAACAGATATCCCACAGACACATTTTCGCCGTTTGCCTTTTGACCACTGCAGGTAAGCCTCTTGAAGGTTTCACTTTCTCTGGTATGGATTGAGTATTCTTTACTTTAAAAAAAATTTAAAAAAAAATTTTTTTTAATTTTATGTTTATGAGTGTTTTGCCTCCATGTATGTAAGTATTCCATGTATGTGCAATGCCCACAGAAGCCAGAAGAGGATGTCCTAGAACTGGAGTTACAAATGGTTGTTAGCCTGCATGTAGGTAGGTCATGACCCATGTCATGCAGGGCCCATGGTGGTTTGAAGAGGGCGTCAGATCCCCTGGAACTGGAGTTTACAGATGACCCGTGTCATGCAGGGCCCCCGGTGGTTTGAAGAGGGCATCAGATCCCCTGGAACTGGAGTTTACAGACAGTTGTTAGCTGCCATGTGGGTGTTGGGACTTGAACCTGGGCTCTTTGTAAGAGCTGTCTCTGAGCTCTCCCCATCCCACCAGTGCCTGAGTGTCCAGGTAAGGGGATAAGGGCCTGGCAGAATCATTACCATTGCTGCTGCTGCTGCTATTCCTGCTGTTAACAATCTGGACCAGAGTAGAGCATTATAGGAATGGCCTGGAGTCAGACCACTGGGTCACAACTCAACATTGCCACATGAGTTTTTTTAGCACTTGCCAAATGAGTGGCAATTATGTCATAAATTGCTTCTTTTGTCTACTCTGTGAAGGAGAGGTAGTAATATATACTCTGAGCCATCTCTCCAGCCCTTGAGTAGTCTTTCTTCAAATGCTTTTTGTTTTTTATTTTTGTTTGTTATTTTATTTTTGAGATAGGGTCTCTTAACTGTAGCTTAGGCTGCCCTTGAACTCCTGATCCTCTTTCTTCTACCTCCCAAATAATAGGATTACAGGCTGCCATGCCTGGGTCTGGGGTAATATTTGCATAGACTTTGTCAGCTGATAATCCTTGATCTGAAAATTTCCAAAATTCAAAACTTAAAAAAATTTTTTTTGGTCTTTGAGACAGGGTCTCCCTGTAGCCTCAATTGGCCTAGAACTTGCTATATAGACCAGGCTGGCCTTGTATTCACAGAGATCCACCTGCCTCTGCCTCCCAAGTGCTGGGATTAAAGACGTGTGTCACCACACCTGGCCTTTTTAAAAATATTTTATGTATTTATTTTAATTTTTAAAATTTATTTTATGTGTATGTGTGTATTGCCTGCATGTAGGTAAGTGCACCTGTGTCGTGCAATGCCCACAGAGGACAGAAGAGGCTGTTGGATCCCCTGGAACGGGAGTTATGGACAGTTGTTAGCTGCCATGTGGGTGCTGTGATTCGAACCTGGATCTTTTTCAAGAACAGCCAGTGTTCTTAACTGCTGAGCCATCTCTCCAGCCCATTATGTATTTATTTATGTATGTATGTATTTATTTACTTATTTATTGGTCTTTTTGAGACAGGGTCTCCCTGTAGCCCCAGCTATCCTGGAACTCACTATGTAGACCAGGTTGGCCTTGAACTCACAGAGATCGGCCTGACTCTGCCTCCCGAGTGCTGGGATTAAAGGCGTGTGCCACCACGCCCAACTTTATTTTTTAATTTTATGTGTATGAGTATAATGCCTGCATGTAGGTAGATGCACCTGTGTCATGCAATGCCCTTAGAGGTTAGAAGAGGGCATCGGGTCCCCTGGAACTGGAGTTAGAGACAGTTGTTAGCCGCATGTAGGTGCTGGCAATCAAACCTGGGTCTTTTGCAAGTGCAGCCAGTGCTCTTAACCACTGAGCCATCTCTCTAGACTCCCAAAATCCAAAATTTTGAGCACTGACAGTGACAAAAAAAAGTTTGAATTTGGAGGTTTTTCTTTTTTTTGGTATTGCCTGCATGTAGGTAAATGTACCCATGTCGTGCAATGCCCATGGAGGTCAGAAGAGGCTCTTGGATCGCCTGGGACTGGAGTTATGGACAATTGTTAGCTGCCATGTGGGTGCTGGGATTCGACCCCGGTCTTCTGTAAGAACAACCAGTGTTCTTAACTGCTGAGCCATCTCTCCAGCCCCCGAATTTGGAGCATTTTGAATTTTAGATTTTCAGTTTAGGGATGCTCAGCATGTCCTATCTGTAGTGAATCTGACCCTTGGAAATGCCTGCAGGATTTTCTCTGGTCCTGAGGCTCCCTGAGCTGAGAGAAAGTGGATCCAGCCATGAGCACAGCACGTGGTCATACTCTGCTTATGTCTGTATTGGCCAGCTTTCCTTTTTAGCTTCATTCTTGCCTTCTGAAGTTGGTGGATCCTATTAAACCCATTTTGTGGTTAAGAAGACCAGTGCTTAGAAGAGGGAGGTATACCCTGGTGTCACATCTGGAAAGTGGCAATGCTGAGTTGTGACCCAGTGGTCTGACTCCAGGCTATTCCTGTAATGCTCTATCTACTCTGGTCCAGATTGTAAGCAGCAGGAATAGCAGCAGCAGCAGCAGCAGTGGTCATGATTCTGCCAGGCCCTTATCTCTTCTTCTGGGCACTCGGGCACTGGTGGGATGGGGAGAGACCAAATGAAAGCCACCAAATGTTGCTTTTGGGCAGATTGGTATGAATCTGGAGAGGGGACTGCTGTGGAAGCAGGTCTATGACCCTCACCCATGTTCCTCCCTGGGTCAGGTGGATGTAGGGGTGAGTAAGGTCTGCTATAGTCAATGTCCTTCTCCTCCCAAGTTCTGATTCTTAAGGTCAGGTGACCCAATTGAGGCCTGTCAGCTGATAGGGTGAAAAAGCAGGAGAGGCTACAATGTCGGGAGGCCTGGCCATAGTTTTTTATTCCAGAAACTGGGTCTTTCTGCATCTGCCTCCAAGTGGCCCCATGTTGCAGTCAGTGAGAGCTCAGCAATACCTGTTCAGAGAACAAGTGAGGTGTCACTGGTTGTAATTCCTCTTCTATCTCTCCTGGTTCTGTCATTAGCCTTGTGGAAATTAATGGTTCAGATCAGTCTGTGCTGATGTTAGGGCAGTTCTTACTCCCTACCCTTTCAGGTCTTGTCCTAGTTTGTCTCTCCATTGCTGTGACAAATACTCTGACCAATATCAATTTGGGGAGGAAAGGGTTTACTTGGCTTATACCTCCCAGGTCACAGTTCATCAGGGAGCTCAAGGTAGGAACTCAGGGCAGGAACCTGGAGGCAGGAGCTGGAGCATAGGCCATGGCGGAATGCTGCTTACTGGCTTGCTCCCCTGGCCCCTGATCAGCCTGCTTTCTTATGCAACACAGGCCCACCTACCCAGGGGTGGCACCACCCACAATGGACTGGGCCCTCCCACATACTCAACAATCAAAAGGGTGCCTTATGGCCACAGGCTGGTCCAATGAAGGAAATTCCCCATTTGAGGCTCCCTCAACCCAGGTATTTCAAATTGACACTAAAGCTATCCAGTACAGGCGTGATTGAAGAAGGGTCAGAGCCCCATTGCTGCAAGGGCTGTCCAGGTCCTAGGACCATTCTGTGCTGCCTAAACTCATAGAGGAGTGATAGTGAAGCCAAGTCATCTGGGTTCTGGATGACTGGTGACAGGAACCTCATGGAAGGTGAAGAGTAGTGAAGTGGCATCAGAAGTTCACAGTCATCCTTGGATGCAGAGTGAGTTTGAGGCCAGCCTGGGACATAGAGGACCATCACAAAGAAACAAACAAAAGTCAGTGGCGGGGCTGGAGAGATGGCTCAGCGGTTAAGAGCACTGACTGCTCTTGCAGAGGACCCACATGGCAGCTACGAACCGTCCTTAACTCCAGTTCCAGGGGAATCCGAAGCCTTCTTCGGACCTCCTTGGCATTACACAACACGGGTGCACTCACATACATGCAGGCAATACACTCATATACATAAAATAAAAATAATAAAATATTTTTTAAAAATTAGTGGCACAGACTGTTCACCAGATGCAGTTTCTTTTGTGGATGCTACTTTTCCTCAGCAGATGTCACATATGAGAAATGGCTGTAGTAGTTGAAGTTTCAGTAGACAGCTTTATTCCAACATCCATGTCTCCGAACTTCTCAAGGGCTCCCAAGGATTTACTCTTGACTCAGTCTAGTCATGTTCTCAGCACACATGGGGGATGGTGTGCACATTGTGGTTAGGGCTATGCATGCACTGCAGACCTCAGTAACCTCATTAACCCTCTTAGGATTGGGGAGGATGGCTCTTGGGAGGAAAGTTTGGCCTGCCTGCTGTGTGAGGATTTGAGGAGGGAATCCAAGTCCTGCTTCCCCAAGGCCACCAGCAGGGACCTCTTTTTGTCTTGAATCTGATGATAAAACTCAGATGCCATGCAGTGGACCAGAGAAGCCTGGCTACTGCTGCATCAAGATCCTGCCACATCTCCTCAGACAATGCCTTATCTTTGGTGTGGCATGTCAGGGCACCTGTGGTCCTGGCTACCAGTGCAAACTGCAGGACTGCAGACTGTTGGGAAGGTTATCGGAACCATTGCATGCCCAGTGTGTCCAGAAGCTTACCAGAGATCTCTACTTTTCAGTCTCTCTCTGCAACCCTTTGTCTACCCGGTCTGCACTCCAGAGGGCGTTGTCTTTGACTTGCTGTGAGTTTCTCTTTAAATTTTAGAATTTCTTTTTATTTGTGGGGTTATATGTATGTGCGTGTTTGTGTGTGTATGTGTTCATGTGCATGTGTATGTGTTCATGTTCATGTGTATGTGGAGGCCAGAGGTCAGTGTTGCTCTATTGTTCTCCACCTTACTTTTTTGAGATAGGGCTGTCAGTGAACCTGGAACTTGCTGTTTTGGCTACACTAGCTGGCCAGCTAGCTCCCAAGGTCTGCCTCTCTGAACCCTCCCATCCTCTGCTGGAGTTATAGACGTGAGCTACCTTGCCTGGCTTTTGCACATATGCTAGGGATCCAAACTCATGTTTTTCATGCTTGCATGGAAAGCACTTGACCCACTGAGCCGTCTCCACAATTCTCCCTTGAATTTTGATCTAACAGACGTGGCAGGATTGTTGCTACTCATTAGAGAAGGAGATGTTGAGTTTGTGGCTCTAAGCAGGGACAAGGTCACCAGAATCCTGGCTTTAACAGTCTCAGCAGGTCTGGGGGCCTTTTGGGGATTGGGAGGGATTGCCAGCACTTCAGGGACATGGCTGAGTGTGCCAAGACTCTAAGCAGGCAGTATTAGCTGCAGGTGCAGTTGCTGTTGCTTGGAAGAAGGCGAGCCCTTCCACCCCCATGTCCCAGTGCATGGCTGCTTTATTTGTACCTGATGTGGAAAGCTGATGTTCTGGATACTTTTCACTTGATGAAAGCAGAGCTGTAATGAAGGCGCAAGTTCCCAGTATCCTATTCAGAAGCATCATGCTTTATTTTATGTCCTAGCATATGTTATTTTCTCTAATTTGTTTTGTTCTAAGCTTATTTTAGGAAAATTAGAAACAGAAAGTTTTATTATAATGATCTCAGTATCCAGGATCACCACTATAAATGTTTATGGTGGCACATGCCTTTAGTCCCAGCACAGGCAGGCAGATCTCTGTGAGTTTGAGGCCAGCCTGGTCTACATAGTGAGTTCCAGGCCAGCTGGGGCTACAGAGAGACCCTGTCTCAAAAAGATTGAAAAAAAAAAGGGCTTGGCTCAGACTGCAGGTTTTTTTTTTTTTTTTTTTTTTTGTGGGTGTTTTGTTTTGTTTTGTGTTGTGTTTTTTTGGTTTGGTTTGGTTGTGTTTTGTGTTGTATTTTGTGTTGTGTTGTGTTTTGTTTTGTTTGAGACAGGGTCTCTCTGTGTAGCTCTGGTTGGCCTGCAATTTGCTATGAATTTAAGACCTGGCTGGCCTTAAATTCACAGAGATTTACCTGCCTCTGCTTCCCAAGTGTTGGGATTAAAGGCTTGTACCACCGTGCCTGGCATTTTGCTGTTTTGTTTTGTTTTGTTTTAGATGGGGGGGGGGCTCATTCCTGGGCTCAAATGATTTCTTGCCCTCATCTTCCAAATATCTAGGATCACAAACACCCACCACAGAGCTTGGCTGCAAGTATGCTTTGGTGCTGGCCTGGTATTTTGTTGTATAGACATACTAGCATTTGTTGATGCTTTTTTGCCCAGTTAAAATCTTTGTTTATACATAACTGCAGTAAAAATCCTGTGCCTGCTAAGAGTGTAGCTCAGTCGTAAAGCATTCTTTATTCTTAGCAATGTTTAAGGCATGTGTTCAATCTCCAGTACCAAGAAAAACAAATCTTGAGTGTATTTGGAAGTTCGTGTACCCACAGATATTCCCCCACTGCCTTTGATGAAGGAAAGGGCTTTTCCCTCCTGCAGTGAGGCATAGCCTGTGCTAGACTTACCTGGAAACAGCCCTTGAGGCCTAGGGTGTTGTTACTTGTGGCACCTAAGTGCTCTGGTGACACTTTTTGTTCTCTCTTATCAGGAACATTGTTCCATGGCTTAAGAAGTATGGGACCAATCCCAGCAATGGAGAGGTAGGTGGCCCTGCAGGAGTGAAGCTGGTGAGAGCCGGGCTCCTGCCTTCACTTTGTCTTGGTGGTTTTTGTGAACTTATAAAGCATAATAGAGAGCTGTTCATTGGGTCTGGGCATGACAGTCCTCCTCTCCCCTGCCATACCTGCTCTTTCCAGAAATGTTACTTCTGTGTGTACACATGTGTATGTACAGTTGGCCTGTATTTGTAGATTCTTTTCCCTGGATTCAACCAACCATGATCAAAATATTTGGGAAGAAAGCTGTACTTGTACTGAACATCTGTACCCTTTTTTGTCATTGTTCTCTAAGCAGAATAGGAGGTAACTATGTAGCATTTACATTGTGGCGGGTAGCAAGCAATCTAGAGATGGTTTAAAGTTGATGGGAGTATACATGTAGATTCTGCTCAGATGGTGCACCATTTTATGAGACTGGGGTATTTTATGCATTTTGGTATCCTGGAGAGTCTTAGAATCAGTCTCCTGTGAATATAGGACCATGGTATGTTTTTGTTCTCAGTTTTCCTTTGTTTTTATGTTTGTTTGTTTTTTTCCAGATACGGTCTTACTCTGTAGCCTAGGCTGACCTTGAATCCACAGCAGTCCTGCCTCAGTCTCCTGGTGCTTGAATTACAAATGTGATCCACCATGCCTGGCTTTATATGTTTTCTCTTGAGCAGTAGATTCAGTCATAGTGAGTGGCTCCTCTATATGTTGTTTTGTGTGCTCTACAGGGTATCATGGAGCCCCAAACATGTTGGTGCAGAGAACATAGCCTTTTCTATGAGTTTGTCTGTCTATAAAATTTTATTTACTTATTCATTCATTCTTTCTTTCTTTTGTGTATGTATGTGTATGTGTGTATATCTGTGAGCATGCATGCTGTGGCACAAGGTCTTAAGACAGTCTGTGGGAGTCTGTTCTCTCCTCCTACCATACATTGTGGGTTCTGAGGATCCAACTTAGGTTGTCAGATTTGGTGGCAAACCCTTTTACCCACTGAGACATCTCTGGTCCTATTCTGTCTTTGTGGCTGTGCTGTACTGAATCTTCTGTCATCTGGCATTCTAAGCATAGGTACAGGGAATGGCCCCATGCCCTTTCTTTGGGCACACAGGAGTATTTTAGGACTGCTGGGCCAAAAGAAGGTTTATTGTCAGTGTCTATAGTTACTAGCCAGTTGCCCTTTAAAGTTGTTACATCATTTTAAGTTCCAGGCAGTAATGTGCAGATGAAAATGCTTATTTCCCTATATCCTTGATAATACTGGGTATCAATAGCTTTTTGCTTTTTTTAGCTATTTATGGGCAAAAAATAAATAAAATCCATGTTTAATAAGCCACTTCTTGCATGTCCTGAATGCAGGTCTAATGCTGTGACTTCGTACCACCCAAGGAGAGTGTTTCTTGATTAAAATCCTTACTATCTAGCCCTAACTCTGTGCTTTTATCATAATCACACATTTTAATCAGTCTCTGGTATGTTGGTCAGAGGTCTGTTTCCTTCCCTTCTGTGGGCCTAGTTCTTCATTTATTCAGTTGCACTTGTTCACTAAGAAGTCATCTGCCCTGCCATGTGCTAGACCCACAGCAGGAATGGGGCAGTGGGATGGTGAGGAAAGAGGGGGGACAGGTGGACTAGCAGATAGAGGCCTTATTGGGGGGCCATGCAAGTCTTGGGAAGGGATTGCATTGGAAGCCTAGGCAGGATCATGAAGCTGGCATGTATTGAGGATGGTTTTGACTTTGTCCAAAAGGTGCTCTAAGGAGCCAGGGTGGCCACAGGGAGAGCCATGAGGGGCCATGCACCTGTCTGGGTGAGAGGTGCTCTGTGAACCAGGCTGGAGGCAGAGGGAAAGTGGAGAGTTGTGACCAGATCCAGGATATCTATAAGAAAGTGGACCAGCAAGATGTGTTGAAGGTGTTGAGTCAGATCCCTAGGGCAGTAGGGATCTCAGCAGTCACTTAATACAGTGAGGTCTTGAGTTCAGTTCAACAGGAACTTCTGAGCAACTGTTGCTGTCCTGCATCAGCAGTGTGCTGGGGAGCCTGGTAATCAGTCTGGTCTCAGAATCCCAGGCCAGGCATCTCACTGCTGGTATCAGTGTAACCCCATCTTAGCTTGATTTTGTCCCTGAAGACCCCATTTTGAAGTAAGGTCACATTCACAGGTTTTTTGTGGGTATGAACTTTAGGGAGACATTTTCAACCCAGATCCAGGGGAAACTTGTGTTTTGTCTGGAGATTCCGCCATTCCTGTTGGAGCAGTTTGTATTGCTCCTGCTCCACGTTTCAGCATGAGATGGGGGCTCCCTTGGCAAGAAGATTCCCTGGAGTTGGGGTGCATCTCAGTAGTAGAATACTTGCCTAGTTTGCAGAAGGCCCTGGGTTCTATTCCTAAGCATCCCCAAAATAAGATTTAAAAATACCTCCAAGACCCCTCCTCCCACTGGGTAGGAGGAAGCTGGCCTCAGTCCTTCAGGTCCTGATGACAGTCTGGGACAGGTATGGAGTTCCAAGGATTCTTCCCAGTGTGCTTCTTCCTTATTTAAAATATTTTATATATTTTTTTATTTTTCTGTGTATGAGTGTATTGTCTGCATGTATGTAAATGTATCCATGTCATGCAATACCCAAGGTCAGAAGAGGGCATTGAATCCCCTGGAACTGGAATTATGGAAGATTGTTAGCTGCCATGTGGGTGCTGGGAACTGAACCCAGATCCTCTGCAAGAACAGCTGGTGCTCTTAACTGCCGAGCCATCTCTCCAGTTTGCTTCTTTCCTATTCTTGAAGAAAGGAGGGCTGTGCTCTACACCCATACAGACGGGTCTTAGACTGCTTCCAGAGCCTGTGGCTTTTCTCTTTGAGCTGTTTGGGGTGGGAGCTTATGCCTTACCTCCCAAAGTCTTTCTTACTCTAAAGTATGATCAGCTGTTTTTCTGTGCATCTGCTTCTGAGAGCCATGTGGCTCCAGGGGCTTCTCCTGAGGCCCCAGACTGACAGGACAACCTTCACTATCATTATATGGTCCCTGCTGCCTGCCTGTGTCTTATAGCTGATGGTCTTTGACTTCCTGAGCACTGAGGTTGGGACTGCCCAAGGATGTCAAACTGGGGCTCCCCTGCTGTGTTAGTGATGTTCTCAACCATCCTCTGCTTCCAAGCTGCCACCTCGGATATCTTCCACAGCTTTCCTTATGACCTCTGCCTCTTTCTAGTGGACATTGTTACTTAGTTACAGCTGGGTGCTTTTTGTTACTTTTGCATTTTGCTTCCTAGGTGTTCTTTGGGGCACCAGATCTTGTCAACTGTCAAATCTCTACACTTGCCAAGCCCAATATGGTGGTTACTTTGGTCATATGACTTGAAACTGGGGCCATTTCCTTTGTTCCAGGCATCCCATGGGGGTGTGGTTCTTCAGGTATATCTGGCAAACCCTACCCATTCATGCCTAGCATCCCCTCTCTCAGAAGTGTCTTGCTAAGGGCCTGCCTAGCCTGTTCTTGTTCTGCCAAAAGAGACCCTTCCAGCTAACCTCTTTAAAGGGTCTCTGGCCAGAGGCTAGCTGGCCACATTTCACTTCTTGGAGCCTTGGAGGAGCATATTATGTAGGGGTCTTCTGGCTAGAACATGTGCTTTGGTAAAGACCTGTAGATATTCCTGGAGTCCTTACTTGCAAGATATGGGGGTAGAAAGGGATGAAGGAAAGGATAAAGCCAATGGTGGGGTCAGAGATGTGCTTAGACAGTGAGGACACAGGCATGGGCTTGGCTCAGAGACTCAGCTGTCCTCCCCCAGCATCTTCCCTGAATCCTGGGTCTGCAGGGTCAGGATCACCTGTACCAGAGTGGCAGCAGCTGCCAGAATGTGGGCCCTGAGTCAGGTGCTCCCCAGTGATGTGCAGCTTTTCCTCTCTCTTCCAGGGTCTCCACAGCCCCCTCATGTCCTCCAGCAGAGGCAAGTTCTCTCCCTAGGTCACTGGAACATTTTATCATAAAAGATTCTATAGAAGAGGTGAGCTGTAGATATATTGTGGAAACCTGGACAAAGAGAGGATTCTACTTTTCCATCATTCCACTCTTAGCAAGTAGGCGTGTATATTCCTTTTCCCTACACCCAGGGCCTCACCCATGCTAAGCATATACTCTACCACTGAGCTGTATCAACAGCCCTTCCCACTGTTAATGTTTTCTTCCCTTTTAAAAAATATACCACAGTCTAAGTGGAACAATTGGTTACCCTCGTTATCTATCTATCTCTCTTTCTCTCTTTTCTATTTTATGAGTATGGATGTGTTTCCTGCATGTATTGTGCAGGAAAACACATTGCACCTGTGTGTGCAGTGTCTGCAGGAGCCAGAAAAAGGCATTGGATCCTCTGGAACTGGAGTTATGGATGGTTGTTATGTGCTGGGAACAGAACTGGGATCTTACTCAAAAGTAGCCAGTGCTCTTAACTCCTGAGCTCCCCCCCACCCCAGCCCTGCTTACCTGCTTTATTATTTTATTTTTATTTTTTAATTTATTATTTATTTGTGTGTGTGTGCATGTATGTGTATGATGTGTATATTTGAATGCTATGGTGGGCATGTGGTCAGAGGGCAACTTTTGGGAGTTCTCTCCTTCCACTGTGAGTTTTGGGGATTGAACTGAGATCATTGGGCTTGTGTCACTTTTACCAGCTGAGCCATATTGCTGGCCCTACATTCACTTTTTAGTTTTAGAAATCATGTATGTTTACCTTAAAGATGTTCATACAAGGGGTAGATTTGCAGCTCAGTGGCAGAATGCGTGGTTAGCATACCTAGCACCAAAAAGAAAAGTTCAGACATTGTAGAAATACAACACCAGTCTTTCTATTCCATCCTTGTGGCCACCCCTTGTATTTGTTGTTTGTGTGTTACTAAATATGAGCTCTGCTCGCAGCTTGGGGTACAGATTACATTAATGCAAACATCTAGGCTCATCATTCTGCAGTCTGCAGAAGTCCTGGCTGTGTCTTGGAGACTTTGCAGAGAGATCTCTCCTTTAGTGTATATTGTAGGGGATCAGCTGGGCAGAGATCTTTCCATTCTGTCTCTATTACACCTGGCTTGGCAGTCCTAGTGTTTCTCCACACTCCTTATTCATTATCATTAATTATATGTCTTCCAGAAACTTGACGGGAAGTCCCTGATCAAGCTGAACTTTGCAAAGAACAGTGAAGGTGAGAGTCCCTTTTGTAGCCAGCTTAGGACTGGTGCACAAAGTCACAGGGCCCCTGCTCTTACCAACTTCTTGTCTATAATCAGTCATTCTTTTTTTTTTCTTTTTCTTTTGGTTGGAGATTGAACCCAGGGCCTCACACATGCTGAGTGCTCTACCTCTGAGCTACATCCCCAGCCCTCATTCATTCCTTCTGATCAAGCTAGACATGTGCTTTTGATTTCCCAGATGTCACATGGCTTCTCAAAGATCCAGGTAGTTCTAAGTCAGGGTAGGAGCGCTGAGCATTTTTCCCACAAAGGCAGGCTACTGTGAGCTGCTGGTGGTTGTTGTAGACACAATTGGGCCTTGTGGCATAGGCTATACTTGGCTGAGGCCATAGCCTGCCTGTTCAGTGACTGCAGTTGGAAGCTGCTCAGGCTGAGGCTCTGGGTGGGTAGCCCAACTGTGGGTGTGGGTGGTTGGAAGGCATTTCCAGGTGGCTCTTGAGCAGGCTGTCGTCACCACTGCTCCTTTAGATCCCTGTCCCACTTGGAGCTTCCTGCTCTTAAGTCCCTGCATGCCCCACTTTGGTCCCTGTTCTGGGGTTTGATCTTGCTGGAGATTCTTTGTGGCCTTTTGCCCTAGTGCAGGTGCTATAGTTGAGGCTACTTTCAGTGCTCACTGGATGTGTGTTTTCCAAGGAAATGCTGCAAGTATGGGGGGAGGGGCACATCTTCATTGACCCATGGTCAGTCTTGGATTTGCAGCTCATGAGGAAGCAGTACTGCCACTCTAGCTGAGTGTTGAGTGCTGGGTACTTCCTGCTGTGATCACCTGACTCAGGAGGGCCTTACTGTGCATCTCTCAATTGAGCAGATCTTGCATTGCCTGCATGTGTGCAAAGGACAAGTCAGTGGGGCTGGCCTTGGAGAAGAGCTCCCATCTGGTGGCAGAACATTGTGGACAGGAAATGAGTAAGGTATCAGATGTTCTCTGTTTTGGACAAGAGCAGAGGAGGGAACACGGCCATCAGAGGACCCACAGAGGGCAGAAGACAAGTCTGAGAAGAAACTTGATGAGAAGGAGCTGTGTGAGGATCTGGGAAGAATATTCTAGGCAGAGGGCACAGCCAGAGCAAAGATGGCCATACACTTGAGGGTGTCTATACATGGCCAGGAGTCAGGTGTTGCTGGGACCACGTGAGCAAGGGTAGAATCAGGGCAGATGGCTTGAGAGGCCAGGGCTGAGGATGGGAGGCAGAATAGTTCTATAGAGCCGGGGTGACCAAGGGAGGACTTGGACTCCAGTTCTGATGGAAACCATTGAATGGAGGGTAAAGATCTGGCCTCATTTTTTGGCAGTGCTGGGGATAGGGATTTGCATATTAGGTAAGTGCTCTACCACTGAGCTGTGCCCCTAGCATGTGTTGTTGCCTCAATCTGGTTTTTCTTTCTATTTTTTTTTTTTTTTTCCTTAGTTTTTTTGACAGAATCTCATGGAGCCTAGGCTGGCCTTGAACTACTGATCCTCCTTCCTCAGGCTCCCAAGTGCTGGGATTATAGGTGCATGCCACCTCCACTAGTTCTGTTTTAGTTTAATTGGAAGTTTCAGATATATGAAGACAGCATGAGTGTGAGGCACTCCTGCCAGTGTCTCTCAGTAGCCCTGGTCCTTAAAGCTAGCTGCTTTTACCTGTGCTCCCACTTGGCAACCTTTGGGATGATACTGAGGCAGATCCCAACACGGTTAATCACTTTATTGTGTAGCTGTAAAAGATAAAGACTTAAGGGTGGTTGAGGTGGGTAAAGTCACCTACTGCCAAACCTGATGACTTGAGTTCCATCTACTGGACTCACATGGTGGAAGGAGAGAAATGACTCCTCAGAGTTGTCCCAGGACCTCCACACTTACAGGATGATATGTATGTGCTCCCTCCCATCCTGGTCTGAGACACAAAGAAATTAAAATGTAATAAAAAAATTACAGATGATTGTTAGCTGCCATGTCGGTGCTAGGAATGAACCTGGGTCCTTGGCAAGAGCATCCAGTGCTCTTAACCACTGAGCCATCTCTCCAGCCCCATAGTAAATTAAAAAAAAAAAAAAAAAAAAAAAAGATGAAGTCTTACATCCTCATAATAGCATTATGACACCTAAAAATAAAATCAACAGGAATCCTTAATCACATCAAATGCACTCATTGGTTAAATTCCCATTTTTTTTGTAATGATTTCCTTTTTATATTGAGATTGAGGTTTTTAACAGTACATCCAGATGCCTGTGGGTGGCATGCCTGTCTAATACCGCCCCCCCCTGCAGTTTATTTGTTGAGACTCACTAGACCAGGCCCCTGGCTGTTGGGTGGAAGATCATCAGGGCAGGGAGGTAGGGCTGGCTGGCTGGCTGGATGGATGGCTGGCTTTTGGCAAGGTGGGGGAGGCCAGGAGATCAGGACAGTGGTGGTAGGTACTGAGGACATGAGCAATAGAAAGAGCAGTGGAGATGGTATCTCTGGAAAGATGAGCTGTATTCTATCTGGAATGGCTTTAAGAGGTAGAGGCTGGTGTGTTCACCTGGGCCAGGCTAGATGCTAACAGAGACTCCTCCTCTGAGGAAGGCCGAGCAAAGTTTGGGTCTCACAAGGTGAAAAGGAGCTGGCTATATCCCTGTGGTTCCCAGCTCTTGGCAGCTGGCCCAAGGTTCCACCTTTTTCCTTTCTCTGACCCCTAATGATCTTCATTCGGATGATTAAATTCTGTTTTGTTTTGTTTTCCCTTTTTCTTGTGGTACTGGGGTTATATCCAGGATTTTATACATGCTATGAAAGTGTCCTGCCTTTAAGCTATGTCTAGCCTCCTTTTTAAAATTTTACTTTGAGACAAGGTCTTGTTAAGTTGTCCAGCTGGCCTAGAACTCTCTGTCCTTCTGCCTTAGTCTCCTGAGTAGCTGGGATGATGGATATGTGCTCCTGTGCTTGCTTGATCAAAACTCTTGAGAGCCACTGGCCCTGTATTTGTGCTTTCACTCTAGGAAAATACCACTGCCCAGTGCTATTCTCCGTGTTCACTGACAACACCCACATTGTAGCCATCAGGACAACTGGCAATGTCTATACCTATGAGGTAGGCCCCCATTGCAGGGGATGGGACTCTGTATGTTGGGCTCTTGTCTGTGCTTTGAGGGTATTCTAGCAGCCTAGCTGAGTGCTGGGGGTGGGGTGGGAGCTAGGCACAGTGAGCACAGTCTGTCCTCATGGGCTCTGTAGCTACCAGCACAAGGCATCATCTCAAGCTCTGGGTGACCTCCCTACCTTTATGAGGATTTGAAGTGAGGAGCATGTGCTTCTGTGGCCTCTGGATCTGAAATCCTGGCAGTTCAGGGATCTTGTCCTCCCATGTTTTCATCATGGACCAGGCCCTTGGAAGAATCTGAGAGGGAAGGGAAGAAGAGCAGGTGCCAGGTTGGTGGGAGGGGTTCTGGCAGGGATGGCTGTAGGTACAGGAAATAGTGGCTTTCACACTGTTCCCCTGCTCAGGCTGGGGCAAGGAACAGTCTATGGTGTGGGACAGCCTATGTTGGATCTCCTGCTTGAAGCAGCCAGATTGGTTTGGTTAGTCTCTGCTAGCAGAGTGAGAGTACCCCAAGGGTGTGTACCCCAAGGCAGCTACTTTGGGTGCTTGTTTACCTCTTTCCTCTTTACCAGGGACTAGAGGGGACTGTGACACCGTTTCTGTTCTGCTATAGGCTGTGGAGCAATTAAACATCAAAGCCAAGTACTTGAGGGACCTGCTGACTGATGAGCCCTTTTCTAGGCAAGACATTATCACCCTGCAGGTAAGTGGCTTCAGAGACCTTCTGCTTCTCTCTGCCTCCCAGCTGTCCTTACAAGCTTGGTGGTCTCCTGTCCCATGATATCCCTGTGACTGCTTCCCAGCTACTCTCAGTGCCGTACCCCAACCCCTATGGTCATCTGGACCTTGACTTGGCCATGCCCTCCATCTGGCTCTCATGGCTCCCACATCAGGGGCCTCATCTAACTCATCTGCCCCATAAGCCATCTCAGGCATCAAGATGAATAGGCCACTCTGTAGATTCCACCTCACTGCTCCAAGAGCAGCAACTGGCACAGGTGTCCCTATGGGTGGTGGATGAATGGTAAAAACTGGCAGGAAAGGGGGAATGGCCTGGATGGAGCTTAGGCCAGGACAGGCCTACAGGACTTCTCCTCTGTGGCATTCCAATCTGATTGGCTGACCAATCCATCCTGTACTACCTTCCAGTAAGCCATGTTCCTTAATTGTGTGTCTGGAGGCAGGGAACACTACTTGATGAGCAGCTAGGCAATCTGTACCCTGTCCCACCCACCCTTGTCACCCTCAGGGCAAAGCTTTCTTCCTTGCTTGATTCATGAGGCTTTAGCACAACCATAGCCTCTTCCCCTGTGGGTACCTTCCCAGCCTTTGCCATCTTAGGCAGCTATTTGATTTGATCACAGCCCTGGTTTTATTGCTGGGTCATCTCTTCTTGCCATAGGACCCCACCAATTTGGACAAGTTCAATGTCTCCAACTTCTTCCATGTGAAGAATAACATGAAAATGACAGACCCAGGTATGGACAACCAATGGCTGCTGTGATTGGTATACAGGTTTGCTTCCTGGGCAAGCCCTTCCTTCCCAGGATCCAGAGACCCTATGGATCAAGCTTTTGCCTAACTAGGCTCCATGTTTATTTTGGAAATCCCTGGCTGGCCTGAAATTTGCAATGTAGACCAGGCTGGCCTCAAGCTTGCAGCAATCCTTTTGCCTCTTTCTAATGGTGCTGGGATTGTAGACCTGTACCACCATACCTGACAGGCTCCAAATTTCTTGAATCTGCAAAGTGTCAGGTGGTCAGTGAACCAGCTGGCTACAGATGGTCAGATAAACAGCTGGCTGTAGTCATGGAAACACCATCATGTCCCATGTGCTGCTCTGCCACGACACCTCACTTTCCCTTCCTCAGTCTTGGTGGTCCTGTGTTTCTTGGATTCTTGTTGGCGACTGCTCTGTCTAGGGTATACTGATGGAGGGGTTTCAGGCATGACTCTGGGTGACATCAGGCCTGCCTGGGGTAAAATTGGACTGGATCTTTGTCCCCTCTACTTCCTGCATTTGGCCCATACTGTCGATCACACTATAGCACACTATTGGATGGTTGAAGAGAGGATCCCCAGTTTTATTAGCTCACTTGTGGGTGTTTCGTATCTCCAGGAGTCAGCCAGACTCATGCCCAGAGCTCACTTGGCATCATCACAGCTGGAAATAGTGTTCTTGGCCCTCATGATAGAAATTGTGGACCAGTCTGGATTTAGGGAGGTGGAACACACAACTCTGGGATAACTGAGCTCAAGAGACCAGAGACCAGGCCTAGGGATGAAGGAGGATAGGAGGTAGGGATGATCTAGAGATCATCCACCCAGTGAGCTACAGCCTTTGGCCTAGCAGTCAACATTGCTATCCTGCCTGGGTGCAGGTGAAACATTTCATATCTGGAAAAACCTCAAACACTTCTTTCATTTAAAATAAGAACTTTAATTTTTTTTTATTTTTATGTGTAGGAGTGTTTTGCCTACATGTGTTGTAAGTGTACCATGTGTGCAAACTCACAGAAACCAGAAGAGGCAGTCGGAGCCACTAGAACTGGAGTTACAGATAGTTGCTGGCCATCACCTGGGTGCTGAGAACCAAACCCAGGCTCTCTGTAAGAGCAGTCAGTGTTCTTAGCCATTGAGCTATTTCTTCAGTCCCCTAAAATAAGAACTTTTTTTTTTTTGGTCTTCTTGAGACAGGGTCTCCCTGTAGCCCCAACTGTCCTGGAACTCACTATGTAGACCAGGCTGGCCTTAAACTCACAGAGATCCCCCTGCCGCTGCCTCCCAAGTGCTGGGATTAAAGGCGTGCACCACCACGCCTGGCCTAAAATAAAAACTTTTACAGTTACAAAAGCAGCCGGGCATGGTGGCACTCTTGGGAGGCAGAGGCAGGCGGATGTCTGTGAGATGAAGGCCTGCCTGGTCTATATAGCAAGTGCACAGGCCACCTGGGACTACAGGGAGGCCCTGTCTCAAAAAAGGACCAAAAAATAAATAAGTAAAATTACAAAAGCAGAGCTGGGCATGGTGGTGCATACCTGTAATCCTAGCATTTGGGAGGCAGAGGCAGGGGGGATCTCTGAGTTTGAAACCAGCCTGGTCTACATAGTTCCATGCCAGCTGGGGCTATTGGGTGACTGACCCTGTCTAAAAAAAAAACCCACAAAAAAACAAAATGACCCTCCCCCCCCAAAAAAATTGCAAAAGCAAAACGCACATTGTAAAAAGGTTATGGTATACAGGTAAATATAAAGAAAGTAAAATCAACCCATCTTCTGAGTCCAGTGGACTGCATGAAGGAGACCCCTCTAGTCCCTGTGGCACTGTGTTTCTGTGTGCTCCCCACCTTTCTGCTACATAATCCAGGGCAGTAACCTGGGGCTGTGCTGTGGCCAGAGATCCTGTGCTAATATACTTGTGAGTAACTCCATTTCTGTTCCTGTTATGCCCATCTGTAGACTATTTCAGGCCTTGGCTTCCTGGTGCCTTAGCTGCCTGGGGCCTGTGTACTGTTTTGTAGATGAAGAAAAGGCCAGACAGGATCCATCTTATTATTTGAAAAATACAAATGCTGAGACCCGAGAGACATTAGAGGAGCTGTACAAGGAGTTCAAAGGAGATGAGATCCTAGCAGCCACCATGAAGGCCCCTGAGAAGAGGAAGGTGGACCAGCTGAATGCTGTGAGTGGATTGCTCTGGCTCTGCCGCTCTGAGCAGTGGAATGATCCTGGGGAATATGTTCACTAGGACCTGGGATATATTTGGAGGGGAGGTGGTTGGCACCCTCAATGCTGTGGGGCCTTCCAGGACTGTTGAGGCAACTGAACTCCAAACAGGTCAAAGGGGAATCATACACACTGGGTTTGGAGGGATGATTGACAGCCTGGGGTTTTGTGGCAGCATTGGCCCAGCAGAAGTAGGGCTGCCTTGTGCCATGGTCCCTGACCCAGGCGTCAGTGGTCTGCTACCTGCTGGCTCTGGGGGTTCTAGAGGTAGCTTTTACATTTCACGACACAGCAGCTTCAGGACCTGCAGGTTTGTGGTGGCTGGGTGGGTAGGGCCTACAGGGGCTGCCAAGGTCTCAGGTCTTGCCTGGGCCTTCCCTGGGGCTGGTCTGTCTGTCTACCTGAAGCCCTGTCTGTAGCTTTGGTACTGAAATCTGTCTAGCCCATTGGGTCCAAAGGTGCCCTCTTTGCCTTTTAAGCTGAGCCTGATGAGCCTGAGCCATAAGAAAGGCAGAAGCTGACTCCCATAGGGAGTTATCTAGGAAATTTTGGAAAATTAAAGTTCATGTCCATAATTCCCCTGCTTGAACCCAGCTACCATTGCACTTTTGAGTATTATTTGCTTGTATGTCATCCCTCCTTTTTTATCTCTGTCTTTAGGATGAAAAAAATACTGATCTTTTTTCTGTATTCCTAATTAAAGAGATCATGTGTTTACTGTAGAAAAATATGAAACCTTGAGAAAAAAACTTTCAATTGCCTTTGTATTCCTGTCCCTGGAGAAGGCTGATCCTGTGTGGTGGTGGTGGTGGTGGTGGTGGTGATTGCTATGACTTGACTTAATGTCATCAGTTGAAACTCTTGGTTTATCCCTCTTGGTTGCCGGTAATGGTGCCCTTTGGTCTTGGCTAGCTTCCAGTCTGGGCTGGGCTGTCCCCTATGCCTGGGGTTGTGGGTTAGGAAGCTGTCTTGGAGGAGGTGATGACCTGGATTTGAGCATATCGTTTTCCTGCAGGCCCACTATTCCACGGGAAAGGTCAGTGCATCCTTCACCTCCACTGCTATGGTGCCTGAGACCACGCATGAAGCAGGTAGCTACCACTCCCCCATTCCCTGGGGCAGAATTCACAGTGGCAGCCTCAGCATCCCTGCCTACCTCAGCATCCCTGTTTTGTGCAAGCACTTGGAGTCTGGTGGTCAGGGGGTGGGTGTCTTAGAAGGTGGGTTTTGTGTTTGGTGGGGAGGCTATATGAGCCCAGGCTTGTCAGATGGTGTTTTCTTCATATGTCCTTGGCTCTTGGCCTTGAAATGCTCAGGTTTTCCTTGGTGTGATCCTTAGCCTCTGGCTCCTGCATTCTTCTCAGACTCATTGGTACTGAGCTTATGTGACAGGACATAGGGCCTCAATGGAGGAGTCACCCCAGGTCCAAGACAGGTGCAGAGCTTAGAACTTGTTTGCAGCTACCATTGATGAAGATGTATTGCGCTACCAGTTTGTAAAGAAGAAGGGCTACGTGAGACTGCACACCAATAAGGGTGACCTCAACCTGGAACTGCACTGTGACTTGGTGGGTACAGTGGGTATTCCCTTACCAATGCCAGGCAGTTTCTGGGGTCACTGGGCATCCATGTCTTAGATATGGAGCTGTAGTTTGTATTTTTAGGAAGTCCTCCCTGACCCCAGGCTTCCTTCCCCAGAGTCCTGTTAGCCACATAGCATGTCTCCTTGGCTGCCTGGTAGGTATGTGTGTAGGTCTCAGGAAAGGGACCTGGTTCCCCTTCTACTCTGCCATGTGTCATATGGCTGCAGGACTCTCTTGCTTAGCTTCTGGAGGTCAGACTGGATCAGCCTTCAGGGCTCTTGCAGCCCAGGCAGCTCTCTGCTGTATGGTAAAGGCCTATGGGCTTTGTGACTGTTGACTTCTGTGTGTTTCACAGAAGTATTGGCATGTTTTGCAGACACCAAAAACCTGTGAAAACTTCATCAAGCTCTGCAAGAAGCACTATTATGATGGCACCATCTTTCACAGATCCATTAGGAATTTTGTGGTGAGTGGCGCAAGTTGGTGCTGGCCACAGATGCTTTATGACATGGGAGTGGGCACATCCAGGAGCCAAATGGGCTTGTACCTGCCCTGTCTCAGGCATCTGGCCTATGCTATGTGTGGCCAGGGCAGGGTCTTCAGGTGAATCTTTTGCTAGGGATCCTGCAGCTGGCCCTTGAGTGCTAGCCCAGGAAGACCTGGGGTCAAAGAGGCGGTCTCTTGTCCTCACTGAGGCTTGGGCATTTTGGGAAGCCTGTCTGGTAGGTAGGCAGTGTTTTTCTGTCAGGGTGGGCAGTGGGTGATAGGCAGCAGCAGGGCCAGTGACCTCAGCTAACCTGCTAATCGTTAGTTCTTGTTTTTGCAGATCCAGGGGGGTGACCCCACAGGCACTGGCACAGGTAGGTACCAGCCTTGTTTCAATGCCTGTGGCTGTTTTGAGGGCCTGGTGGGGAGCTGGGCTGGGAAAACTCTGGAGGTGGAATCTGATAGATTAGAGGGAGAAAAACAATTCAAGTGGCTGGCTCCCTGGGCTACCTCTTGTACCTCTTGTTTACCCATTGTATGGGTCATCTCTACCTCCCTAAGCCCTAGGGTCTCTATCATAATAAGACAAAGAGATGTTTGGGGTTCTGTTGCCTCAGAACCCAGCTGTTCATAAGCACATGGTGTAACCATGTGGCCTTTATCCTCATGGAGTGAGATAATTATTACCCCACAGCCCCTGCAGGGCAATGATAATCTTTTCTCTGGTCTTCAGCCACATGGGCCAGCCATAGCCTCAACCCATGTGTCAGAATGATGCCTTGTAGCTTTGATCCTTTAACCCTTGGCCCAACAACAGGTGGTGTGTGAAAGCACTGGGGTCCAGGAGTCATTAAGGAAGGTGCCTTAGGGCAAGTGGCACTCTGTGATCCTCCTGGACTAAGACTGTCTGTGACTGAACACTGACTGTGCTCTTTTCTGTTCCAGGTGGAGAGTCGTACTGGGGCAAGCCTTTCAAAGATGAGTTCCGGCCCAACCTCTCACACACAGGCCGTGGTGTGCTCAGCATGGCCAATTCAGGGCCCAACACCAACAAGTCTCAGTTGTGAGTCTCGGGCCCAGTTATTCCTACTCAGCTGTGGGGGTAGTCTGCAGAGGGCCCTACGGTTCCTCTTCTTATCTCTCCCTGAAAGTTGTGCTGGGCCCAAGTTAAATCCAGACAGGGTGCCCAGTTCCTGAGTCAGATGTTTTAACTACATGCTGAGCTGCAGCCAGTAGTTAGAGGTCGTTAACAGCTTCTTGGCAAAGCAGGCAAAAACCAGGAGTATGGGTTTGTGGGTACCAGGTACCAGGCAGGATTACTGGACCAGTGCTTTGGGAGGAACCATGTGGGGACAGGTGGCCGGTGAGAGGTGTTGGACAAAGCTCTGATTCAGAGCAAGACCCAGTATGTATGCAGAGTGGCTGTTGAGTGGTAGGTGTATAAGAATGAGGCTGGCAAAGCCCTTGGATACCTGGCCTTTTCTGGAAGGATCACACACATGTATTCTGGAAGAATGAGTATGTATAGTCCATTCTTCATCTAAGAATGTGGCTTAATTTCCCTTTGGATATGTTTCTCTTTTTTTTTTTTTTTTTTTTTTTTTTTTTTTTTTTTGTCTTTTTGAGACAGGGTTTCCCTGTAGCCCCAGCTGGCCTGTAACTTACTATGTAGACCAGGCTGGCCTCAAGCTCACAGAGATCTGCCTGCCTTTTCCTCCCAAGTGCTGGGATTAAAAGCATGTGCCAGCACGCCTGGCTATATGTAGCTATTTTATCAAATAGTTTGTTGTTGTTTTTGAGAAAGTGTCTCATTATGTAGTCCAGAGCAGTCCTCTTCTGCCTCTTAAATACTGAGATTGCAGGTGTATGCCACCAGTCATAGCTAAAACCAAATAGTTTTTACGAAGTTTCTTTGTAAATTTATTTTTTTTGTGTGTGTATGAAGTGTTTTGTATGCATGTATATAAGTGCATCACATGCCTATAAAGCCTACAGAAGTTAGAAGGTGTTGCATCCCCTGAAACTGGAGTTATGGATGGTTGTTAGCTGCTATGTGTGCTAGGAACTGAGCCAGGGTCCTCTGCAAGAGCAGCCAGTACTCTTAACTGCTGAGCCATCTTTCCAGCCCTCTTTGTAGATAATTGAAATTAGCAGAGAAGGAAGCATCTTCAACTTCCTCTGTGTACATCAGTCATTACTGTCACTATGGGTCGTTGAAGAGGGGCACATGAAATGTGGTTTTGTAGTCTGCTAACATTTGTCACTAGGCCTGAATTTCAAGAGAGGCCGCTGAATTGCCAGAGGTTTTGTTCTTAGCATCTGTCCTAATGATCACATGGCTGTTCTCTTCTCATAGGAGACAGTCTTGGTCATGTGATCCATTGTTGTCTGGTGTATTGCTTGATGGTCTAGAGTAAAGTGAAGTGGGTATCCCTGGGTATTAACAGCCAGCCAAGGACACATCTGGTTCCTGCTGCTTCTCTGGAGCTTCTGTTATAGACATTGCCTGTTACTTTCTGTTTATCTGGAATTTGATTCCTATTTCCAGGTTTTCACAGTTGTTTGCATGGAATTATCGTGTATCCTCAGTGTCTCTCTGCTGAAGGCTCCTTTCTCATTCAAGCACAGTATATTCCTTGTTTCTTCCATGGTTCATGAAGGGTTTTTCTGGTTTTACTTTGTGTAATCATTTTTGGTTTCTAGATTTGCTTCTTCCTCATTTTTTCCTCTTTCTCCACTTCAACTACATGTCTTACTCTGTACCAGTGAAGACAAATGAGTTAGTTTGTTTATGTATGTATGTATGTATGTATGTATGTATGTATGTATGTATGTATGTATTTTGGTCTTTTTGAGACAGGGTCTCCCTGTAGCCCTAGCTGGCCTGGATTCGCTATGGAGACCAGGCTAGTCGAACTCATAGAGACCTGCCTGCCACTGCCTCCTGAGTGCTGGGATTAAAGGCATGTGCCACCATGCCCAGCTGAGTTTATGTTTTTTAATTTTAGAGCTAAAGGTGGAACTCAGGTCCTCACACATGCTGGGAAGTGCCCCATCATTGCACTGTACCTCCAGTCTTGCATATTTTGGGATGTATGTCCTGTTTGGTCTTGTCATTTCCTTCCTTCCTTCCTTCCTTCCTCCCTCCCTCCCTCCCTCCCTCCCTCCCTCTTTATTATTTTAAATTGTGTATGTGGTATATGCATATGAATGCAGGCCAGATGCATCACATCCCCTGTGTGCTGCCCAACATGGGTGCTGGGAACCATAATTTGTGTCCTTTGCAAGAGCAGCAATCATCTGAGTCATCTCTGAGCTCCATCACTTCCCTTTCAATTTTTTTTAGCCAAGTGTTGTCCAGGACATTTTATTAGTACATAGGTTGGGTTTGTGGTTAGTTTTTGTTATTTAACTATATGTGGGGATTACTTTATTTTCATTATTTCTAACTTCATAATAATCTAACCATAATAATCTATGACATAATATTTTGTGCCTTTTCTAGTAATTTTTTTTTGTCAAGGATTTCCTTATAAATAATACTAACTTTAGTCAAGAATTAACTATTTCTGTTACATCTTCTTTTTCTCTTTTGCTATTTTTTTTTTTGTTGTTGTTGTTACTTGTTTTATTTTTTAGGAGAGCCCCAGCTGGCCTGAAACTCACTATGTAGACCAGGCTGGCCCCAATCTCAAAAAATCTGACTGCCTCTGCCCCCCAGGTATAGGAATTAAAGGAATGCATCACCATGCCCAGCTCCTTTTGCTGTTCTTTTTGAAATTTAAAAAAATATTTTGATTTTAAGTGTACTGCATGTAAGTGTACCCATGTCATGCAGTGCCTGTGGAGGTCAGAAGAGGGTGTCAGATCCCCTGGACTGGAGTTAGGTTGGTGGTTAGCCATGTGGGTGCTAGGATTTGAACCCGGGTTCTCTGCAAGAGCAGCCAGTGCTCTTAACCACTGAACCATCTCTATAGCCCCTCCTTTTGCTATTCTTTACTTCCCTCTCTTCAGGTTCATTTCATTCTTTTTCTAGTTCCCTTCATTGTGTTAGGAATTCACAGGTGAGCCATGTGTGGTGGTGTGTACCAATGATGAGATAGGAGGTTCAGTTCAAAGTCATCTTGGCTTATAAAGTGAACTCAGGACTAGCCTAGGCTATGTGAGACCTTGTTTGAACAACAAAATTATGAGGTTTAAAGCCAGTGAGAGGTGTCAGAGTTCAGGTGTGCATAGTTGTGGGCTTGATGTCTATGGGATTTGCCCAATGGCCTCAGGAATGCCCCTGTTTGCCAGGTGATGCATGTTCAATGCAGGTTCAGTGTTCTGTGGCTCACCAAGAGGACTTTGTGAGCTACTGGGATGAGGCTGATGTCATGTTGTCACAGTAGGGCTGTGTTCACCTGCCACTGTGGGCAGTGACTTTATACCTCTTGCACTGTAACCCATCCCAGATGATGCTTGTCTTCTGACTATTCGTTTATTTTTTTATTTAGAGACAGGGTCTCACTGTGTAGCCCAGGCTGACCTTGAGCTCAGTCTCCTAACTGCTGGGATTGCAGGTGTGATTCTCCACACCCACCTCTGCCCCACCCCTTGTCTGATGTTTTCTGCCCTTTTGCTGTCAGCTATTCAGTCTATTGTCTAGGGCTTCTTTCTAAATGGCACATACCTAGACTATTTGACTTTACCCTAGAGACCTGATCAGTGTGGTCTTTCCCTCAACAGGGCTCACAGTGGTACTTTTCCCCCATCCCAGAGCCTTCTTCCAAGTAGTCTCATGGTCAGGCTCAAGCCTCCAGCCTCTCCTGCTTGGCTTTCAGGCAAGGTCTTACCATGGGAGGTTGGCAGCATCCTATGAAGCTGAGCTCTGGGCTTTCTCTTAGGAAGTCTGGGTTTATCTGGGTATCCTATTTGATTGCCTGCCGTGGACAAGAAATAGGTAGAGCTAGGCACACAAGGCATATACAAGGAAGCTACAGGTTCCTGGGTAGGTCATGAAGGGCTTATGGTTCAAGTTGAGGACCAGTCACTGCTAGGAGAGCAGTAGATGAGGCAGCTTGCAGCTTCCCTGACCTTCATGTCCTTCTTCCCTAGCTTTATCACGTTCCGTTCCTGTGCTTACCTAGACAAGAAGCACACCATCTTTGGACGGTAAGTACAGCTGCTGCATGGGTTGGGAGTGCAGCGTGGGCTGTGCACCAGTGGGCCGCCACGACCTTTGCCCCAGACCTCAGCATTGTGCTTTGTACTATCCCTGCTGAGGACTGTGGGTGTCAAGAATGAGGACTTGGTTGGGATTTTTCTATGGGGAAAGGTTGACTTTCCAGGCCTGTAGGACCAAGGAGAGGAGACATACCCATCCTGACCTGGCTTATTATCCTCCCTCCCACCAGGGTACCCTTTGGATGGTATCTGGACCACATTCCTTTTTCTCCTCATCTCCTAGTCTGTGGGTCAACAGACTTTCCCACAAAGGCCCAGATGGTATTTTTGCTTGGTAGGCCAGTCTATGATGAGCACTCAACTCTGGTGTTATGGGGGGTTGGGGGATATGGGAAAGCTAGGTGTAGTGGTGTACACCTATATTCCCTGTACTTGGGAGTTGGAAGCTAAAGGATTAGGAGTTGAAGGCTAGCCTGGGCTATACGAAACCCTGCCTCAGCGGACTAAATAGTATGGAAGCAAGGGCTATGGTTTTGTCCAAGTTATACTTCAGTCACCGAACCTGGCAGGGTATGGTTTGCTGCCCCTTTCTTTCCTGGCCCAGCCTTTCTTGGCTGGTGGCTCCAGTGCTGCCCAAGGACAATCAGGCCAGTCTGATCTAGCAGCATGGTTGGGTTGTGAAGCCCCACACCATGAGTCAGTCTTCTTCCTGGTATGCTTTGAAGACTTTGCCATAATGATGCTTTGCTTAGGGTGCAGACAGACCCAACTCTGTTCTACTACAGGGTTGTTGGGGGTTTTGAGACACTGACCGCTATGGAGAATGTGGAGAGTGATCCCAAAACTGACCGTCCTAAGGTATGTGCCTTGGGAGAACATGGGCCACTGCCCATTGGGTGCTAGTTGGAGGAATATGCTGCCTGCTCATCGAGCCTCTGCTTCTGCCACCAGGAAGAAGTGTGCATATGTACCACAACGGTGTTTGTGGACCCCTATGAAGAGGCCGATGCCCAGGTAAGGAGGGTGTAGAGCTGGCCCTGGGGAAGGCATCAAACAAGTCATGTCCTTGCTGGTTGTGGCAGGAGGTCCCACACCTCAGGGCTTTGGATCAGCTGCTGCCCTCCTTCCTAGCTGTGGTGAGAGGACCACACCTTGGGTCTCTGCCTCAGACAGTTCTGCTCTCCACAGATTGCCCAGGAGCGGAAGAAGACACAGCACCAAGCGGCCCCAGAGGCCAAGGTCAAGACAAGCCAGCCCCAGCCTGGAAGCCAGGGCCCCCAAACATACCGCCAGGGGGTGGGCAAGTATATCAATCCAGCAGTCACGTGAGTGTGATGGGGTGGCATCTTTTACAGCCCTCTAAAAGGCTGGGACCTGTTTTCCTAGTGTTCCTGGGGTAGACCAGGTGGTGGCCAGAAAAATCACCATCACTAGACAGGAGTCTGAGCTTGTGCCTAAGAGCTTATTGCTGGAGGGGTGGGAGGGGGCCTGCTTCATAAGGGCCTGCATTGGGCCCTGTGCAGGCCAAGGATATCAGGACTAGGGGATGTGGGAGCAGCACTTTAGAATGAGGTGCTTCTAAAGGGAAGGCTATGTGTCTAGATGCTGAGTTACCTTAGGAAACTTGAAGGCATGAGCTCTTGGCTCTTGTGGGATAGCTAGAGTCTTCTTGTCTCAGGAAACGAGCAGCAGAGGAAGAACCATCAACCAGCACAGCTGTCCCTGTGACCAAGAAAAAGCCCAGCCGGGGATTTGGAGACTTCAGTTCCTGGTAGCGCAGACTGACCCCCATGGATCCTGGTAGGGATGCAGGTCTAGGGGCTCCTGTGTCTGTCTCTTGAGTCTTCTGCCCTTGTAAGTTCAGGCCAATAAACCTCTTGCCTATGACCTGGGTCTAGTCCTGGCCCTTGGGAATCCCTGGCCTTTCCATCCCTCATCTGGTGCTGAGGAATATGGCCTGGGTTAAAGAGGAAGGCTCTGTCCCAGTTCTAAGTTTGCCCTCTTCCACCCCAACCCCCCACCTCAGGGATGGCTTGTGTTCACTCGGCTGTTTCTTGGCTAGTGCTACTACCTATGGGTCCTGTTAAAATGCAGATTCTCAAGGGGCTGGGTATGGTGACACACATATGTAATCATAGCATTCAGAATACATAGGCAGGAGGGTCTAGAGTTCAAAGCCAGCCTAGGCTACATAGGGAGACCTTGTCTCAAAAGAGATTTAGATATTCAGATTGTTTCTCAAACCCCAGTCTAGATCCTGAAGCAGGGGCATGTACTTCTAGGCTGTTTTGATAAGCCCTGATGGGCCTCTGATCCTTGAGACCACTTCTACAAGCCACTTCTATTGCCCTTTGCTTGGTGCATGCTCACTGTCTGTCTGCTGCCTCACCTTGCTGCCTTAGCCATTCCTGGGTAAAGCCAATCAATAGCTTATGCTGTGAAGAGAGCAAAAGATCCCCCAGGGAAAGAGGAGGTCTTCCCTCTGACCCCCTTCTCCCCATAGTCATCAATTCCTTTATATTGTAGGCCAATTGTGTGTCTCCTGACAAGAATCCTTCCCTTGGCCTGTACTTTTCTGTGAAATGTGTCTAAATAACTTACAGACACCTGTTCATGGCTTTGTGTTCTGTCTTCAACTCATGCTGGCTTTCAGTCCCCTGATTGGAGGCCCTGCTCCTCAGCTTTCCCCAGCTGTCACTTCACAGGTGTGGGCACAGATCCCCTCTGGAGGCAGTGTCATACTAGAGTACTCTGCTAACTACATCAGCCTGCCCGGGGCCCCCTGTTGTCCTTGGGCTACCACCCCTTAGAGCTTGTCATATTACATTTTAACAGATTTTCTTACCCTACCCCAAACCTTGAATCTTCAAAATCTCAAAAGATCTTGGTTCTAGAATGTACCTTGGTATTATTTTTCCATCTCTAACATTAAAACCAGACCCATGCTCTTTGTCTCTCTAGGTGGCAGAGCCAGTCTTTCCCCTAGCCCACTTTTAACCATATTGCCCTTCCAACTTGCCTTCCCACACCCATCCAGACCTCTCTGTTGAGGTAACCTGATACCTCACATTTTTAAGAGGACAAGTAGGGGGCCAGGTATGGTGACACACACCTATAATCCTAGTCTTGGGAAGCAGAGGCAGGAGGATCACTGCACATTCCAGGACAGTCAAGGCCACATAGCAAGACCCTGCCCACCCAGTCTCCCTCCCCACCAAAAAAGAGAGATGGTGATCTCAAAAACAAAAAGGAGATGCAGTTGGGGGCTCTTCAGGACAAACAGAGGAGTGGTTAGGTCATTGTATTCTTACACTCAAAAGCTTCCAAGCAGGTGGTGTCAGAGAAGCATCAGGACCCCAGAAGAAGCTGAGACCCTCAAAGCCCTTTGCTTCCAGTGGATGCTGCAAGAAACCCCGGCTCATCCCTCCACAAGGCCCCGCCTCCTAGACAGCGAGTACTGCAGAAATGTGGCATTTGACATCAGAAGCTTTATTTTTATACCTCACACAGACACAGGACCAAGGGCTGACAGCTTTGGCCAAGGGACAGAGAGGCCGAAGGCAGTTCCATGCTTGAACTTGGCAGTCCTGCTCCTCATGGTGAACTTCAGCTGCTTCCAAGTCACTGGTCAGCTTTACCAGCAGCCTACACCTGTCCCCACGGGCAGCCACATGCTCATCTACTCTTGTCCTCCAGGATAGAGGACAGGGCCCACCAAGGGCCTGTTACAAATGAGGGCTTTGATTTCTGCAGCTTGTGGAGAGCTTAAATCGTAGCTTTTTAGATATTAAAACCACTTGGATTTTGAAACTGCCTGACAAGGTCATCAGGGAAAATAAAGGAGTTTGGGGGAAAAAAAATTCATTTCTGATCCTTCAAATATCTGAATAATACCATCAAGAATAAGCATTAAGGTATAAAAATACTATATATATCCTAACAAAAAAAGCAACAAAACTAAACCACATTTCTAAAGCAAAGTGCTGGAGCACACCACAGATGGGTATACGACCTGGCACCACCTCCCACTGTTCTCAAGGGAAAAGTTTTAAATAATTTAAAGTCAAGGAATGCTACTGTTCAGGAATTTAAGAGGGTGGAACAATTTAGCACATAACTAGTACATCTGGTTCTGGCCTTTTTATCACTTCCCCTGGAGCCAGCTCACGGTCAGTTCATTTGGTTTAAAAAGTTTATATTTTACCAGAAGACCAACAAAAAAATTCATAAAAATTTTGATATCCATTACCAAAAAATTAGAAAATAAGTCATAAAGAAGACTAGTAAAAAATTTCCCATCAATGCTATCACAAAAGACAATACAAAGTGCTCAAGTTGAAGGGGCAGTAAGCTTGCCCAGAACATAGAAAAGCTTTAAATATAATCTTAGTATATACAAAAACTGGTCAGAAGGCTTCTAGAAGATTCTTCTGTTTAAGAGGGGCATCTATGGAGACGTACCCAGTCTGCCCTTGCTCTCCCTCCCACCCCTGCCAGGCTAGTGACACCTGGTCCCCCAAGCATTGGCCACCAAGTTCCCACTTGCAAGAGGACTGACAACTAGCAAGGAAGTATCCACTTTCAGCTGACTGTTCATATAGCGTTCACTCCTTGGGCAAGGAAGGTGTCTGCCCTCCACAGTTCCATGTACAGGGACTGAAATCAGACTGCTGCTTCATGTGCCAGCCATGAGGGAAGCATCTTCAGGTTTCAGACCACTGCAGCAGAAGCCCTACTGGGTGGAGTGACACCTTGCTCTGGGACGCCTTAGTTGTCAGGTAACTCAGCAACACAGGATGACACAGGACATGCTGGGCCAGCCTCATTCTGCAGAGAGCTAGGGAACTAGCTGGACCAGATGCAGAGGCTTAGACCATGCAAACATGTCCTCCTTTTCCCAAAGTGATTTGCCACTGTTAATCCTGCCATGCCAACGTGTCTCAGTTATGTGCCTACCCAGCCACTGGGCCCAGTGTCACAGTATTTCCTATATTACCAGGCTTCCAATCTTGGTCAAAGAGGTGGCACCAAAATGTAGGCTCTGGAGTGAGCAGCGAACTGGAGCGTCCGAACCCAGTGCCTATGCTGGCCACAGGGTCTGGGTTTAGGAGAGATTTGGGACTGGGAGCTCAAAGGACTAGAAACTACTATCCTCATCCAGCTTGCTCTTGCTGCCCCTAGACCATCCATGGGCAGTTCTAGAGCAGCAGGGGCTGTGAGCTTTCTAGGCACACTTCTCTCCCAGCTCACTGGCTCTTGGCCTTCCCAGGCCCTCTTCCTGCCCCTCTGCCTTGTGTTAGGGTACAAAAGGTTGAAAACCCAAAACTTATCTGGGAATGTGTTCTGGCCTCCATCCTCTGCAAACTGGCCACTCCCTGCAGAGGCCTTGGAGGATGGCAGGCTATGACTTAAAATCTGCACTGGAGATGCAGTGCTTGGGGGATGGTCCAGGTTCTGTGTCAGGCTATGAGATGACTCCAGGCAGGGAGACTGATCTCCCCAGCAAACCAGCTCTTTCCTTTATAATAGCCTGTCTCTCGACTTTTAACCTTTTGTTAAAAAAAAAAAAAAAACCCACAATCTGGAAAATCTCAAGTTTTAAAGTTTTCTTTGCTGCCTCTGCCTCCTTTATATGCAAAACTAATTGTATTTCAAGTACATCCAGGTTATAAAGTGAAACCTAACTCTTGACTAGGTCCAGCCTGCTGCTGTACCATAGGGACCAGCCCGAAGTGAGCTGCTAGGCAGTTGAGGGAGTTGTCTCAGTGACAGGCTTCTGTAGGCCCTGGGGACAGGCTGCTCCAACCACTAGATCACTCACTTTCTAGGCTTTCTACATAAGGACTCTGTTAGCTTAAATAAACAAGATGCATATTGCCTTCCTTTAGCTTCTCTAAAATGTTACCAGTGGGGCTTTGGTTTTTGAAATAACACCCTTTGCGTATAAATTTGTTGACCGCTCCTAGAAGATTCTTAAGTGGTCACTATGCCTTTGTTTGTGAAAGATTCTCTGCCTCTAGGGACTTAGGTTTTGTTTCCTACGCAACATGAAAAACCAGCCAAACTATGTTGAAGACATAAGGTAAAATAAGGTATTAAATAGGCAGGTAAGTCATCAGTTGGTTAATTCTTTCTCTAGAACTTAAGAAAGAAGTTAGAAAAAGGCAAACTCAGAAACAACAATGTACATGAAGGGGACACAGAGGGGGGATGCCTTACCCAAGGGGATGGCCCAAAGAGGCCTTCAAGTGTTGAAACTGGGCTGGCCTGCGAGGTTAAAGTTCAAGAAGTACTGTCACCAAGAAGCTATGTCTTCATTACACTCAGCTTTCATAAAATAGTATTCAAACAGGAATGGAAAGCTTCCACTTTACTCCCAGCCGTTATCTTTGATCATGTGGGCAAGTTCAATAATAAATTTTCCTTCCTTGTATTTCTGACTGCTCTCAAAGGCATGTTCCTGTGGGGAAGTAGACAAACAGTTTCAGAACAAAATGTTTCATTTTCCTACTGGCAAAGAAAGTTAAGGTTTTTTTGTGATTTTCACCCAGATGTTCCCTGAGCTGTGCAGGCAGGCCCAGGAGGGTCTATCTCAGGTGATATGTCTTCTGGGGAGCACAGGGTAATTTTCAGTTGCTTGCTATACTGTGAGCAGTTTTGAAATCTGTTTATGGGGTCAGAGATGTATCTCAGTGTGCACTGTTTTTAGCTGAGGCTCTGGGTTCCATCCACAGCATCACACACAAAAGAACTGTTTGCCAAGCATCTATTTGGTCTTAGGAGATGTGAAGAAGAATAGTGTTTACACAGCAAGAGTACTGGGAATAGGTCAAAGATGTGTGGATGAGAGGCTGTGTGTGTGGTGTTACATGTTTGTGTGTGCATGTGTGTAGGCCAGTGGTTGATGTCAGGTTAGCTCAGTTTCCCTCCACTTTATTTATTTATTGTGTGTGTGTGTAGTGTGTGCATGTGTATACAGTCATGTGTTAGCACATGTGGAGGCCAGAACAACTGGTGGGAGTCCTCTCCTTCCACCATGGGTTCTAGGGATGGAACTCAGGTTATTAGGCTTATGAGGCAAGTGCTTCCCCCCGCTGAACCATCTTGCCGACTCTCCACTTAAGTTTTTGAGACAAGATCTCACTGAAGCTGAAGCTCACTGATTCATCTAGACTGGCTGGCTGGCTGGCCAGCATGCTCCTGCCTGTTACTCAGCACCGGGGTTATGGATGTGCACTGCTGTACTTGGCTCTCTACATGTGTGCTAGGGATCTAAACTCATTTAGGCTTGCATAGCATGTACTTTACAGTCATCTTCCAAGCCCAAGGAGCAGGCCCTTTATGGGAACATGACCGTAGACACTTATCATTTTGTTACATGTAGCTTGAGGTTCTGGGGACACACATGACTGGGAAGAGTCCTGGCTGGTAGACACAGAAGAGTCTCAGCAGGAAGCAGAAGGTACTGCAATGGCTTGCAGCATACAATGACCACAAAGGGAGGACAAAGAGGGGCTTGGAGACGTGGCCAGCCAGGTGGAAGGTTGGGTGGGCCTCCTAGAGTCTAATGCTTTGAGGGGTTGTGTCAGGTACTTTGCAGCTCATGGGGAGGCCAGGAGATTATGTGGCCAGGAATTCAAGAAAGGGGCCTTGACCTAAGAGTTCAGCACTCAAAAGAAGGCACAAAGACTGGGAATAAGGCTCAGTAGATAAAGTGTTTGCCACACAAACATGAGGACTTGAGTTCTGATCCCTTGAACCCATGTCAAAGCAGGGCAGGTGTGGCAGCCTGCTTGTAATCATGGGTCCCAGAGGCAGAAAGCAATCTCTGGGTCAAGCTGGCTAGTTTAAAGAGTAAGCTCTTTAAACAGCAAGCTCTACATTCAGCAAGAGATTGCCTCAGTAAATGCAGTAGAGCTTAAGGAAGATATTCGATGTCAGCCCATGGCTTCTGAGTGCCCACATGGGAACATACACACATGCGCATATCACTTCACAGACACATGCAAAAAAAAAAAAAAAAAGTATAAAATGGGCTTCTGGAGTGCCAGCTGGGGTAGAGTGCTAGGAGGCTTCTACTAGGAAATAAGATAGGCAGAGGTGGACGTTTAAAAGCTACCAAAATTGTGTCCACAGAAGCACACCAGGCTGATGTGGCCAGGGGAGACGATTCTGGATACAGGGGCTCAGCAGACAGTGTCTGGCCTCTGCAACAAGAGGCACTGAGACCTCAGGGTCTATGGATTAGGGAGGGGCCAGGAGCAACAAACTTGTCATCTTGAGACATCAAATCAATCATGTACTAGAGAGAGAAGGCTGGAGACAAGTTGGCAACCTCCACTCAAGGTCTGGGAGAAAGAAGGGCCCTAGGAGAGAACCCAAGGGCTACCATAGACCTGGTGCTGAGGGCGCTTCAGAGTTTGCCCTAAGCCATAGCACTGGTGGGCATGGTGTGTCCCATGCCTATGCCATTCCTGACCAGCTTCCAAAGGAACTGCTGGAAACCTGTAATCCACTATGTGCCAAGCATCTTTTAACCACTTGAGCCATCTTGCTGGCTCCATGCCTGTTCTTATGTGTTGCTGGGGATGGAATCTTGGGCTTTGTGCATACTAGGCTAGCACTACCTACTGAGCTTCCCCAGCCCATGGGAAACATGTAATGTTTGAGTGGCCCCATCATTCCATTGTCAGGGCTAGGCACTCACATATTTCCACCCGAGTGTGGTCTTGCAGTTCTCACAGTAGATGTCAGCCACTGCATGCAGCCCGGTCAGAAGGACCCTCTCCTCAGCAGGGCCACAGCCCACATTCACCCTGTTGAGACACAGTGGCAGTGCTGGAGCTCCCTCCCCCAGTCCCCTTTCCCCTGGCCTGCATCATTAAAAGTGTGTTAGGAGGAACAGGGAATTTTTCTAGAGAGGCACAGAGCCTTATTACCCCTCCCATCCCTGCTTTAACAATTTTTTTTTCTTTTCATGGTATTCAGGATCAAACCAAGGGCCTCACAGATGCTGGGTAAGCACTCTACCACTAAGCCACATCCAGCCTAAGAATTACTTCTCTCCCCAAGAATCCCAAAGGCACAGGTTTGGAGGCTAAACTCCCAACAGAACAACTGTGCTTTCGTAAACACAGATGCAGGAGACCAGATCAAGGCACTGACTGGGCAATGCTTGACTGCTGGTGGGTAGGACTCATTTACATATTTCAACTGTGAATAACTGAACAGGTAGATTGAAGCAAGCCATGCCAACTGATGGGGACCCAGGCCACCTGCTAGGCATTAGTGACAACACATACTCACACAGAGTTGAAGAGATAGGCACGCCCCTGACTTCCCTGAAAGGACTGCAAAGAAGAAGAAAGCATTAGGAGAGTGTTGAGGTAAGACACCAAGTACCTGAGCTCTGTGTTCTGGGTTGGTGGAGCAGGGCTAGAACACTGAAGCTCAGGCTGACAGTGGCTCCCAGACGTGCAATTCCTGGAGCCCCGTGCACTGTGCACCTGGGGTTTCTATTAGCTCTGCTGAACAGGTTACAAAAGAGCAGACAGAGCCTCTCTCCAGTTCTTTCTTTTGTTTTTTCTTGAGACAGGGACTCCCTGTAGCCCCAGTTATCCTAGGACTCGCTATGTAGATCAGGCTAGCCCTGAACTCAGAGATCCACCTGCCTCTGCCTCCCAAGTGCTGGGATTAAAGGCGTGTGCCACCATGCCCAGCTATCCCCTCTCCAATTCTAACAATTCTGCATCTAGACAGCCTTAGAAAGTGGCTGTTGCATCAACATTCTGCAAAGGATGCATTGTAAGTTCACAGCAAACAAGAGCTGGATTCTGTGGTGCATACCTGCAGTCCCAACTACTCAAGAGGCTGAGGCAGGAAGATGGCTTGGGTATTTAAGACTGACCTTTGTAACACGCTTAAAAAAGAAAAGGGGTTGAAGAGATGGCTCAGTGGTTAAGAACACTGGTTGCTCTTGCAGAGGAACTGGGTTTGGTTTCCAGCACCTATACTGTGGCTAACAACCATCCATAACTTCAGTTCGATGCCCTCTTGTGACCTCCATGGGCTTTACATGACACAGGTGCACTTACATACATGCAGGCAATACATTCATACACAAAATAAGAAAACAGCAAATCAGCTACAAAATGGTGAACTCTGTAGGCTTATACAACTCCACTCAAGAGAGGAGTTGTAAGGCAGGTCTGGGAGGATTTAAAACACAGACTCAGCATGTTCTCATCACTTCTAAAGTGGTCTGGTGCCTCACTATCATCAGGTATTAGTAAGCAACGGACAATTTCTCTACTTTTTCCAATGAGATTAAAAAAAATTGTAGCCTGAACTGAATGTGGTGGCTATTGCCTGTAATCTCAGTATTCAGGAGGCAGAGGCAGGAGGATCACCACAAGTTCAAGGCCAGCAAAGGCTACATACTGAGATCCTGTATCAAACAAAACAAACGATGTCAAAAACCAAAGTTGCAACCTATGCCTATGATTTTGAGCCTGGGATTTTGAGCCCAGTCTAAAATCCATCTATAAAGGGGGAAAGGAGTGGAGAGACAGCTCAGTGGTTAAGAGCATTTGCTGCTCTTACGAAGGACCCAAGTTTGATTCCCAGCACCCATATCAGGTGGCTTATAACTGTAACTCCAGCTCCAAGGATCCTCTGCCTCTGGCCTCCATAGGCACCTACACACAAATATACAAACCCCCACACAATACATTCAACTAAAATGAAATAAATCTTGAAGACATTTAAAAAAAGCTGGAGCCCTGGGTGAGCCTTATTTGTAAGAAAAGGACTTTTTAATGGCTTCCTACCCTAGGAATAACATACCAACTAAGAAACAGCTGCAATTATATGCATGTGTTCAAAGATGACACAATGGATAGGCAACAAGCCAGAACAGGGGCTTGTCTCTTTCCTGAAAAGGTGAGAATGCCACGTAAGAGGCTCATCCACTTCAGTAGAATGCTCAAATGATCCAACACAGTACATAACCTCAAAAGTAGGTAAGAAATGTAAACTACATGAAGGCTTTTTTGTCTACTACTATAACACCAATTCAAAAGATTGCTGGGAGGGCAGGGGCTAGAGAGATGGCTTTGTCAGTAAAGTGCTTGCTGCATAAGCAAGAGAACTGGGGTTTGAACCCCAAAACCCATGTAAGAAAGATGAGCAAGATGAGCACAGGTCAGGTGTGATGGTGCACATTGGTAATCCCAGTGCTTGGGGTGCAGAGGCAGGAGGATCTCTCTGAGTTCCAGCCAGTTCTACATACTGAGACCCTGGGGGAAAAAAAGGCACCCAGTTTTAATCTCAGTGCTGGGGAGGTAGAGACAGGCACCCCAGGGCTTATTGGCCAGCCAGTTACCTGAATCTGAGAGCTTCAGATCCAGTGAGTGATCTGTTCGTAAACAACAAAGTGGAGAGTAATTGAGGAAGAAACTAGATGTTAACCTCTGGCCTCTACATGCACATGTACACACACTCATATACACAGAGAGACAAACAGGTACATGTGAGGGATTCTGTCATACAATTTGGTGTTATCAAAGTGTGAATCCCCTTCTGAGAATTCATTATAGGGAACCAGCTCCAGTGCATGATGAAATGTGACAACAGTCATTGCTGTAGTTCATAGTCAAGAAACAAAATCTGAAGACAGATGACAGATGGCATCAGTGAGCAGTTAGACAACATTCAAGCAGGACTCAGTGGGGAGGGAATGGAATAGAAAGATACCCCCAAAATAGTAAGAAAAGCTGAAAATAAGTGTCATGTAAGTCCTTTATGTAAAGAGAAATGTGCTCCTATACACACAGGAGAGAGAGAGAGAGAGTGATAGAGAGAGATATAGCGAGAAGAGTCAAAGATAGTGTATATAAGTGTAAATGAAGTTCTGTATGTACAGAGAGGTGTGGAGGTGTATGCGCGGGAGAGAGAGAGAGAGAGAGAGAGAGAGAGAGAGAGAGAGAGAGAGAGAGAATGAATAACAGAATATACACCATATACCAAACTACTCAGAGTATGGATTCCAAGGAATTGAGGTAGAGGATAAAACAACTCTCATTTTTTGCACATGCTGGGCAAGTGCTCTACCACTGAGCAACAACCCAGCTTTTTTTTTTTGAAAGGGTTTCACTACAAAGCCTAGGTTAGGTTGAACTGCCTCAGCCTGATGAATTCTGAGATTATAGGCATGTACCACCAAACCACACACTAAGGCAATATTAAGTATACATCTATAGATTGTATATATAAATACACACACACATTATTTTGTATGCTAAGTGAAAAAACCAGAAGTACAACCTCCAGTTGACCCTTGATAGACATCTCAGCTGAGCATGAAATAAACCTTTGTTTTAAGCCACTGAAATTTGGTAAGATTTTTTTCTAACCTGACAGAACTCAAGACCTGGTAAATATCAAGTGCTCTGCCACTGAGCCCACCCACTTGTTCTGATTTTAAGATACAGCTTTTAGATTTAAAAAGGGAGAGCTGGCTCAGAGGTTAAGTCCACTGGCTGCTCTTGCAGAGGACCTGGGTTTTGTTCCCAGCACCCATATGGTGGGTAACAACCATCTGTAACTTGTTCTAGGGGATCCCATGCCTTCTTCTGGCCTCTGCAGGAACCGTATGACATGGGTACATTTACATACATGTAGACAAAACATTCATACACAAATTTTTTTTTTTTTTGGTCTTTTTGAGACAAGGTCTCCCTACAGCCCCATGGCCTGGAACTCACTATGTAGACCAGGCTGGCCTCGAACTCACAGAGATCCTCCTGCCTCTGCCTCCTGAGTGCTGGGATTAAAGGTGTGCGCTGCCACGCCTAGCACAATTTTTTTTTTTTTTTTAAAGAAAAGAATGTTCAAAAAGACCAAAAAAAAAGCCGGGCATGGTGATGCCACGCCTTTAATCCCATATACATATGCATACATACACATGCACACATGTACTCATATATACACATCAAAAATAAGTTTAAAAAAAAAAGGAGGGCTTCCTTGGACTATGGGAGTCCTTGTTTAAGTGATATGGAGGTGGCTCCAGTCTCCAGTGTGAAACGTGATCCATGTGGTACAAGCACCTCAGTTTCAATAAGTCCTTGTAATCAGAAAGATCACTCAAGAGAAAAGAGTTTGCTATGGTTGTTGCTATGGTCCGGATCTTGAATGTCCCCCAAAATGTGTCAAATGCTTGGTCCTAGCTTGTGGTTTTACTGGGAGGTGAGGGAACCTTTAAGAAGTAGAGCCCAGGAGAAGGAAGTTAGGTCTCTGTAAGTGAGTCCCTGGGGCTACTGGGACTCTGGTCTCTTCCTCTTTGCTTCCAGCATCCTCAAAGTGAGCAGTTTCCTCTGCCACAGGCTCCCACCATGGTATGCCTTTTTTATGGGGGGAGGGGTACCTGACCATGCACTGAAATCTCATTACAGTAATACAAAGTTCAAAATCCCCCTCATCTCCAGCTGAGATGTAAAGTTTGATATCTCTTGGCAGTCTATGTACTTTTGTTTAAATATTTTATTTATTTTTATTTTATGTGTATGAGTGTTTCGCCTGTATGTATGTAAGTGCGCTACATGCATGCAGTGTTTGTTTGTGGAGACCAGAAGAGGGCACTGGATCCTCTGGAACTGGAATTATAGACAGTTGTGAGCCACTATGTGGGTGCTGGGAGCCAAAGCTGGGCCTTCTGCAAAAGCAACCAGTGCTCTTAACCTCTGAGCCATCTCTCCAACCCCCTATGTACTATTTAGGAGTTTAATTTGTGCATCTTTCCAACCAGAAATGCTCATCTGATGTGATGGAAGTTTCAAACAACTGCTTTTCTAGCTTTTCTTGATGTAATTTTAAAAACAGCTCATAAGGCTGGGCGTGGTGGCACACGACTGTAGTTGCAGCACTTGGGAGGCAGAGGCAGGCAGAGCTCTGTGAGTTCAAGGCCAGCCTGTTCTACATAGAAAGCTCCAGGCCAGCTGGGGCTACAGAGAGACCTTGTCTCAATCAGACCAAAATTTTTAAAAAAAGGTGTCAGGAGCTGGAGAGATGGCTCAGCAGTTAAGAGCACTGGTTACTCTTGCAGAGGACCTGGGTTCAGTTCCCAGCACCAACACAGTGGCTAACAACCATCTGTAACTCCAGTTCTAGGGAATCCGATGCCTATTGCCTCTGTGGGTATTGCATAGACATGGTGCACATACATACAGGCAAAACTCTCACACATAAGTGGAAATAAATAAATCAAAAAATTAAGAAAGGTGTCTGAGGAACTCCTATTGCTTTCTAGAAACTTGTGGATGGACAAAAGAGCCACAGAAGCAATGAGGGGGCAGAAAGTCTGTCTTAACAGTTAAAAATTTATTTATTTATTTAATGTGTGTGCATAGGTGGGTGAACACATGCCATCACATGCATGTGGAGATCAGAGGACAATTTGTGGGAGCTGGTTCTCTCCTACCATTTGGGTCCTAGGAACTGAACTCAGGTCATCAGGCTTGGCAGCAAGTACATTTACTTGCTGAGGGATCTTGCCAGCCCAGCCTTAATAGTTTTTATTTCTAATGATTAACAGAGATAAGACAATCTCTTATTTTTACTATTGAAAATGCAAGTAGATGAATATTCGTCTAATTAAGTAAGTCTAAGATGAGATTTATAAAAGGTACAACTTCCTGACAGGACTTTCAGAGGTTTTTTTGAGTGGTGCTGGGGATTGAATCCAGGGTCTCAAACCTACTAGGCAAGCATTCTAATACAAAGCTATATTTCCAGATCTCTTTTTACTTTTGAGACAGGTCTTGCTAGGTTGCCCAGACTAGCTTTGATCTCACTCTATAGCCCAGGCAGACTTTGAACTTGCAATCCTCCTGCTTTAGCATTTTAAGTTGCTATGATGACAGGCCACCAGGCCCCTGGCCTTCCTGAAAGGACTTCAATGGCCCAGGAGGATCAGTGGCAAAGTTGTGAGCAGTCAGGGATGGTGAGAGGCCACAGGCTGTGGGGGACAGTGGGTGAAGTGGTGGTTCCCAGAGGGAGGATTTGCTCACTTATGACATTTGAAGTGTAAATGTTGCGGGGTGGTGAGCATCACATGCTGCTAGTTAAGCAGCTCAATGGGAGGAGCAAGATCGCCAGCTCAGTCCTCAAGGCTCCCATCAGGCCTTGCAGTACAGAGATGGCCCAAGACTCCAGGACTCCCACAGCCTCACAGCTGGTCATACCCCCCTGGGAGCTTTCCTTTTTATTCCTTCGGTGCTATAGATTGAACCCAGGGCCATGTGCATACCATGCAAGCTTGTAGAGCTGTGTCACTAGCCCTGGGCATTCTTCTGAAAAGCCTCTTTCTTCTTAACCATTCTGAGTTTTCAAAATGACATAACTGCCTCAAATTAAACGAGTTATGTTTACAGATTTTCTAGACTTTTGTTCCTTCAAAGTTCTCTGGCATCATATTAATTTCATTGCTCTGACAAGTAACTGATTCATCTGCTCTTTGCAATCCAGAGAGGCCCATCCATGAGCCAAAATCATAACCAAGATGATGGTCTGGCCACATTTAATCCCAGCACTGCCCAGCAGGGGAAAGACCTTTAGGACACAGCAAGTTTAGGAGGCCATGTGGTGGTTAAATGTTTGCCTACTAAGCACACCCATAGTGATAAGGACTCACTGAATAATGGATTTCAGCAGTTTTGACCCAAGCCACTTGCCTTGGAGATGAGTTCATCATGATTGGCCAGGTGTGCTCTGCAGTGGATACAGCTGTACGTTCGGTGACAGTTTGGTAGGTAAGCTTGGAAGGTTTTGGATTTGGTCATTTTCACCATGTCTGCTGGGCGCTCGTCACTCAGCTCAGGGCCAGCAGTGGAGGAGCTACGGCTCTGTTGGACTCTCTGGCAAAAGAAACACTGGAAAATGCACGCAAGAGCCGTTGCTGTTCTGGACGGTGTGTGGTGCTGTCCACACACTGGGACGGGAGAAAAATGGTGCAACCTGCGAACAGATCAGACAAGGCTCCGGTTTACAAAGAGAATCAAGCACATCCAGATGTGTGTTTAGGATTCATATATTTTTGAAAAGTGGGAGGTACAGTACTAAAAGTTTAAGGTCTAACCCTTTCTATTGCTTTGCGGTGCTATGGATCAAGCCTTGTGCCTGAGAAGCATGCACTCTATTACTGAGCTGCATCCCTAGCCTCAGAGCTCTTTCATTTGGGGTTTTTTATAGGGTCTCACTCTGTAGCCCAGACTGGCCTCAGTCCTCCTGTCTCATCCTTCTGAGATCTAACCCTTTAAACGTACATAAAAAGCACTAACATCTAACCCCACAGGCATGCTGTATCATAAACATGGACGTTTGTGCCTTTCCACGATGTCAGAATTGGACAACAGGAAGTTCCAGGCTATTACAGTATCCCTTGCTGCAATGTGCCAAGTAATCCTGATCTCACTCAATACTGCAGCCATTGGCAACTACAGGTTCTTTTTTTTTTTTTTTTTTTTTTTTTTTGTTTTTTTGAGCCATGCTCTCTTTTGGTCTTTTTGAGACAGGGTCTCCCTGGAGCCCCAGCTGGCCTGGAACTATGTAGTCGAGGCTGGCCTTGAACTCACAGAGATCTGCCTGCCTCTGCCTCCCAAGTGCTGGGATTAAAGGTGTGTACCACCACGCCTAGCTACAAGTTCTTTTTTACAGGGTTTTTTACACCAATCTTTGTATGTGGTGTATGCACGTGCACATTTGTGTGTATGCAGATATGAACGCAGAACCAGAGGTCAAACTTCAGTTCTTCCTTAATCTCTCTCCACCTCATTTTTAAAAAGTATTTATTATTATTATTGGGGTGTGTGTATGTGCAAGTATGGGTAAGGGTCAAAGGACAACTCTCAGGGAACAGTTCTCTCCTTCCACTGTGGGTTCTGAGGGTCAAACTCAGGTTATCTAGCTTTTACCCACTGAGCCACTTTGCCAGCCTCCACCTTATTTGTTGAGGTTTCTCCGTAACGCTGAAGCTCACAAATTCTGCTAGGCTACCAGGCTAGCAAGCCCTGATCTCCTTTCTTTGCCTCCCCAGTGCAGGATTACAGGCAGGTGCTGCCATACAGTTCTTTATGTGGGTGCTAGGGATCTGGACTTAGGTCCTCATGCTGGTGCAGCAAGCACTTTCTGAGCCATACCTCCAGTACTTTTCTTCCAATCTAGTGTGTATATGTGTGTGCGGACTCGTCCTGCCATGGTGGAAGTCAGGGCCATCCTTGCCTTCTACACTATTTGAGGCAGGTCTCTTTTTGTTCCGCTGCATATACCAAGCTGGCTGCCCTCCAGCTTCCAGGAATTCTCCCGTCTCTGGCTCCCATCTCACCAGAGAAACACTGGAATCAGAGGGATAAACCCGTCACATAGTCAAATGCTGTTTTCCTTTTTCACAGTGCTGGATGGAACTCAGAAGCCCCTGGCTTTATGTGGGTTCTGGTGATTTGAATTCAAGTCTTCATGCTTATGCAGCACTTTCTCCACTGAGCCACCTCCCCAGCCCTCCAATCTTAATGCTAGTATAACTCTCAGATCACACATTATATCTCACCTAGTATCTTAAATATGCATAGATACAAAGATTTCAGAGTGACTAAGAAAAGGTCAAAGAGGCTGCAGAGTTCAGAGGCTGTCCTGAAGCTGGAGGCAGAGAGCTCACATAGACAGTCAAGTCTGTAGGGGGACCACAGAAATTTCCCCACCAGAAGGTACAGAAGTGCTCAGGAGCAAAGCTGTCAAATGCAGGTCTGGGTGGCAGGCTGTATTGAATGTCAATTTGAACTGGGCTGAGTGTCACTCACAGGAGAATCTGCACTCAGGCTGGAGCCCAGGGACAGAGGCAGGGGTCCTTTGCTGTGGCAAGTTTCTTGAATGAGGTTCATGACAAGTAGTCTGATGGTCCGTGTGTCTACCACACCTCAGTCTTAGGGTGCTCCTTACTGCTGTAATGCTGTTCCATCTGGTGTAACTGAGAAGCCCATGTGTCTGGTTTCTGATGATGTGACATATTCACAGGTACAAATAAAATGTTTATCAGTTTGTGCCTCCCACTGTGCTGACTGATGTCATAGCAGTGTGATGTAACATGAGAGATGGATCTAATATTAACTAATCCTTAAGTTACTTGTCAATCCAGAGAAATAAATCCCTCTCATAGTCAAATGCTGTTTCCTTTTTCACAGTGCTGGATGGAACGCAGTGTCTCGCACATGCCAGGCAAGTGCTCTCTCTCTCTCCCAGATGGGTTCCTTTATTTTTTGGGGGTGTGAGTACATGTGTATATGTATACTCATGTGTATATGTGTGTTCATGTGTGGTTGTGAGTCTGTATGGGGGACAGAGGTCAAACTTCTGGTGTTATTCCTCAAGAGACACTCATCTTTTAAAATTTTTTATTTCATTTATTATTTTTGTGTATGTGTATGAGTGCAAGCATGCATGTACCACAGCATGTGTGTGTGGGTTATAGAACAACTTTTGGGAGTTAGTTCTCTCCTTCCACCTTGTTGAACTGGGCCTCTCTTGGTTCTGCTGCTTTGCATGTTCGGTGCTAGCTGGTCCACAAGCTTCTGTGCTTCTGTCTCTGCATCTCATCTTGCTCTGAGTGCTGCAATTACAGATGCATGCCACTGCCTCCAGCTTTTTGTGGGTTCCAGGGATTGAACTCAGGCCATCAGTCTTGCACAGTAAACACTTTTACCTCCTGAGCCAGCTCACCAGCCTACTTTGTGGTTTGAAAAAGGGTTTCTCAGTGGCTTGGAGCTTGCCATGTAGGCTAAGCTAGCTAGTCAGCCAACTCCAGGGATCTGCCAGTCTCTGCCTCCCCAGTGTTGGAATTATAAGCATGCATGTGCCACATGCTCTACTCCAAGAATGTAATGTTATAATCCAGTGGCTGCTCAGGCCACAATCCCTGCAGCAGCCGCCCCCTCTCACAGATGCCCACAGGCACCTACTAAGGGCATTGTCTGTGAACCTCTAGCTGACTACCAGGTGCCAGGGCTTCTCACCCAGGGAAGTGAGTTTAAGTCAAAGGGGTACTGGTGGCCAAACACCCTGCTTCCCACCTCCTTCTCAATTTCCCACCTGGTAATCAGACTGCAAGGCAATGAAATCTCCCCCAACTTCAGGGAGCTGAAGGAGAGATCCCTCACTTCTTCCACATGGGTTCTAATTCCTCTCTTTATAGCCTCCCTCACCCATGATGTCTCTGGTGCTGGGGCCTGAACTCTCCTTAGGGCCCCTGCCATGCTGTTGTTCTGTCCATGGCATCAATAACTTCTCTAATAAACTTACTCCCAACAATCTGAATCCATCTTGGTGTCCTTCTTGAACCCACATCCAAGACCTTCTACTCCCCAGCATTTTGTTTGTTTGAAGCAGGGTCTTGTTACATAGCCCTGGCTGGCCTAGAACTCACTGTGACTAGGCTGGTCTTGAACTGGTCTGCCTGCCCCAACCCTAACCCTCCTGAGTGCTAGAGTAACGGTGTGCACCACCATACTTGGTCCGAGCATTTAAAAAAAATTTTTATTATTCTTATGAGTGTTATGCCTGCGTGTGTATAAATGCACCTGTGTCATGCAGTGTCCACAGAGGTCAGAAAAGGTCATCAGATTCTCCTGGAACTGGATGGTTGTTAGCTGCCATGTGGGTGCTAGGAACTGAACCTGGGTCCTCTGCAAGAGTAGTCAAGGCTCTTAACTGCTGAGTCATCTCTCCAGCCCCCTGGCTCCAACATTTTTTTAAAAATCCAAAAAACAAACAAGCAAACAAACAATAAACCAAGTTTGAGACAGTCTTGCTACATAGCTCAGGTTGGCCTCAAACTTTTAAACCTTCTGCCTCAATTTCCTAAGTACTGGCTGAGATCACAGGCATGTACTCACTGTGCCCAGCTTCCAAATGTCTATTTTAAAAAGTCAAAAGGGGGCTGGCAAGATGGCTCACTGGGTAAAAGGGACACTTTCAACCAAGTCTGACCTCATCACCAGGATCCATGCGGTGGAATGAGAGAACTGATTTCCTCAGGTTTTCTCTGACCTCTATATGCATGCCACACACATACACTTAAAAACATGTAATTTTATTATTATTATTTTTTTTGTTCTTTTTGAGACAGGGTCTCCCTGTAGCCCCAGCAGTCCTGGAATTCACTATGTAGACCAGGCTGGCCTTGAACTCACAGAGATCTGCCTGCCTCTGCCTCCCAAGTGCTGGGATTAAAGGCGTGTGCCACCACGCCTGGCCCAAAATATGTAATTTAAAAATGTTAAAATGAAGTCATTAGAAGAGACCTAATAAAGAAAAGACAGTCAGTCATCTAGACACATATCAGAAGAAGAAGATAGTCACAGACAAGCTGAGAGTCCTCAGCAGAAACCACCCTGCCAACACCATCATCTCCGACTTCAACCTCCAGTACTGAGATTCATTGTCCAAGCCACAGTGTGGCAGCCCTAGTGGATGAAAATATACTGGGTCTTGGGGGCAGAACATCTAAAGCAACACTCCAGTTCTCCTAAAGAATCTCCCAGGCTGCCTTCCATCCCAAAGTACTGTTCAGAACCACTGGGTCATTTGGCCCTTCCATCGTACCTGTCTGAGACACCACCTACTTTGATCCAGTATTTGTCATTCTCTGCTTGTCTTGACAGCTATGTCCTATGCATGGCCCTAAGTAACACCACTGTGTCTTCCAAGCTGTGCTCTAGACACAGTACTATGACAACTTGTTTGTGTCTCTGTAGGTGGCTGGACACTTCTGGTGTTCACATAACACCTATTGACTGTGCTGTGATTGGCCACTGCACAGTGCTGCCATAGATGGCATCTTGTGTCATTGGTCAGGTCTGGGAGTACATGGGTTAGGACATACATGTGATGGTGACAGGGATGCCTGGCAGCAGCAGGCAAGCTCCTGATACACTTCATCCTCTCTACTTGATGTGGCTGAAGCTTTT